TAAAAATATAAACTGATTTCTTAACATAATAATTACATAGTACCATGAATAATAATAGTAATAATAATAATTATAATTATAAAGTGGTATATAATTTTGGATGTAGGTACTATGTTTTTTGTACATGCAATGTAGTCATCATTAAAGGAAAACAAACTGAAATGTTTACCTGGCGGTATTGTATAATTATCCATTTTTCATTTTTAATTAATATTCGTTGGCTTTTTCATCATTATTGATTACAAAACGTATAATTATGCAAAAAGTGCAAAAAATCTAAATACATATTATTATATTATATTATATAATATAATATAGTGCAAGACGTATCCTGTACATTCTACGGTGTTTTGTTCTCACTTAACCTTGTTTTCATGTCTGAATATTATGAATGACTATATACTATAAGAATTATATATTATTTTCAGTCACATTTTCAAGTGACATTATAGGCTGATCAGAAGTATCAGAAATTACATTTAAAGTGATATTCCAATAATTGATGAATAAATACTAACAAAATATGCAACAAATTAAAATGGATAAAGAACTTATATGGTGTAAGGTATAACTTAATAAAGCAATCAATTTCAGTATTTTTGAAATGTCTATAAATTGAAAAGTATTCATAATATATTTATGTACTTACAGTATATCGGTATTACTATAATGAGTAATAACTAGGTAACGTACCTGTAACGATATTGAAAAATCAGATTCATTCATTCGTCACACGCAAAATTTAAAATACTTACCAAATAATTATGGCGTAATAGGTAGTTGTGAACAAATTTGCAATTATACAATAATTAATATTATTCATAGATTTATAAAATATAAATATTTTTTTCTAATTTTCAATGAGTACCTCGCACGTTGTCTGTACAGACTAAATTCTATCCGAATTGTTTTCATAATTTATAAAACAATGTAATTATGCACTCTTTTGACATTTTGAACAAAGGTTTGTTTGATTTTTCGTTATTTCCATAATAATAATTTAATATTTGCAGGTAGATATAAATATGGCATAAATTTAGTATGCTGTACAGTTTATCTTTATCATACAGCAGAAGTTGCTTATACTTATATAATATCACATATTCGCTGACAGCACAGTACAGTATAGGTGGGTATATAAATAATATGGACTCAACGCGCTTATAATTAAAATACGGCTTGAAGTATATACTCAAAATTGCTACAATTTGAAACATCTAGTTTTGAGTGTGCACTTTATACTTATATGATATGCGCAACTACCCTCTTGCAAAGGAGACGTTTGTTCTACAGACTGACACGTGTATATACAGTCGAACGCCGACAGACAAAAGTACAAAACCCGAGTATACGTGTAATGAATCAGACAAACTTATTTCACTAAATTTTCGAAGAAACACTTTCCCCTGTTTTCTAAAGTGATCTCAGTCGAAAGCGTCCACACTACTGCAGAAGAGAATCCGTTTAAATTTATGTTTAAGTAAACACCTCGTTATAATTCAAAATATGAACATAACAATTATTAGGCATGCGTAGGATTTTTATCTTTTACCAGAGATATGTACAAATTACAAAATAATATTTGATCAGTGGTAACTATTTCTTGACTTGCTCTATATATTATATAAATATACCCAGTACCCACTTCAATACAGGATAATAAATAATGAGTTCATCAACAGTTCAAAATATGTATTATATAAAAATACAACACTTGATCAACAATTTTGGATGTTTTATTGAAATATATAAAAACTTAATATGTAGTTGAAGTATAGAACATATTTAATAAATTCAATTTTTGTAAGTATCATTTAAAATTACCTCAAAGTGGCCGTTGTTTGATATTTTTTTCAAAATGCTTAAAGAAATATATCGCTCAAAATTCGATCATGACCTAAATGCTTGCTTATAGAATCCCTTTTAGAATATAATTTTGAAAATATAAACTTAAAACCCTTAAACACAGTGGTGATATATAATAATTGTTTGTAATAATAACCTAATAAAAAAGTAAATTTAGGCCTAATTTAGTTAACTAGCTATTGTATAATATAAAAATTAGAAAGTGATTTTTCGGCGCTTGTCTAATATTTTCTATATGCATTATTTTATTGCCACAAAAATATGTACTACTCATAATAATTGTTTCCTTATTTATTATTTGACGCTTTTGATTTATGATTGACAGAAAAATAAATTATCAAATATTATTGTTATAAAACACATATCTGTAAACGTAATAAATATTAAAACTAATAGTTACGTCGATGATCGATCCCAACACTGGAGTCTAGAGAACAAACAGAAACTATTGAAACTTAATGATAGCATGTGAAGGTTGAGTATAGTTAAATACCTACTCAAATGGAATAAAAAAAAATGGTGCTACAAACATTCTAAAATGCAATTAAAAGAAGAATGGTGTCGCTGTATCAAATATCAATCATATCCATTTGAAGGTTTTTTACGTGATAGAAAAGTTGTTTACAGCAGAACTGTGTTAACTACTGACTAAGTTATATTTTGTCTTGAAAAAATTGTTTGTATGAACCTGTCTATTACTAATTGTAATATAATATAATGTACAAAGGTTTAGATAATTGGTATATTACCTACCTATAATATTATATTTTATGTATTGTGGAATAGGTACTCGTACATATCTCCACATAAAGGTATCATAATAATTGTATCAATATAAAGCTAAGCTAAGCTAACAAAATAATATGTCCCTAGTTGGGCCTATAAGTGCAGCCTATGATACAGCTATACAAGAGACCCGCATAATATGTACAATAGTTTCATGGAACCAGGTAAAAAATTAACCATAAACTGTAATAAAAATCGTGTGTATCAATTGTTATTTTACCATTAAAAATGTCAAGTGGCCACTATAATTAAAAGTTTTAATGAGTTTAATGTTAATATTACCCAACTGGCAACTTATATGGCAAACTGGATGCTTTGTTATTTTAACTTTGTTCATTTTAATGTATTTATGCTATGAAAATATTATGATTAATGTTTGGTTAGGATAGTTAAAGAAACAAAACAAAAACATAATCATATAATATATAAGAATAATTTAGGTATGTACCTATAAATAGCTAATAAGGTAGAAAGAAAACAAAATGTAGGTGATTAGTGATTACAATATTTCATTAATATAAGTAAAATGTTCGCAATCGTGCAACACCGGGCAATAATATCAAATATAATTTAAGGCCGTTTACAATTTAACACGATTCTGATAAATCCAATAATAATAATAATAATAAATAATATTAAAGTTAATTGTTTGTGAAGTATTATAGGTAGGTACCTACTAAAAATGCAACAAATTGCAGTTTTGAGATGGAACGAAGCTTAGAATGAGGTTGTTTTTAAAATATTGGAATGAGGAACGGGAAAGACTTCCTATTTTTAAGAAACTTGAACAAAAAATTCCGTTCTACAAATTATGAAAAAAAAAATAAAAGTATGAAATGCATGTTATTTTTAATAATAATATGTTATAGAATTTGGGTTCAATTAACTACCTATCGGAAAAGGTAATGAATATGAAAATTAGCCGATTATTTCTGGTTTAAAATTTGTCTGCAAAAAATACCATTGACAACCGCTCAGATCGTAAAAAAATATAAGAGAACAGTAACGCGTTCCTTTTTCGCCACAGGAACGAGAAACGGGGACACGAGTTTTTAAAAGGAACTTTCCCAACACTGGATTACATATTTTATTTCTACCCTCTATTATTGTGCATTTAATTGTCTTTCCGTCATATTTTCAGAATAGTAAATACTTATACAAACTTCGGGTAAAGTCACAAGAACTTTCCTGTAATAAAATGAAATAAAAAATATATAGGTAAATTGTATAAGAATATGTAAATGGCTGGTAGGTATGTCATAGTTTGGCGGTAGGTATCAAATTACCTGTGGGTATAACCATGTATGATGTAGCATACTCAAGGCTGGGCATTAACGAGTTAACAAGTTAAAGTTAAGTTAAAAAGTTAACTTACTACATTTCTTTTTTAATTAATGCGATATTAACGAATTAATTTTTCATTTTAAGAAGTAGGTTAAATTAATTTATTTTGTTTTAATTTTATTATAATATAGATAATTATAATATAATTATTTCACTATTTCAGTCTAGTTCGTTTTTATGTCAAAAAAATATTTACCGTGAATTGTTTAAAGTTAAAAATGTATATAATTCGAATCTAACTTATGTAGAAATACTGTATAAAGTATAAACACTATAGACACAATACCTAGTCTATAATTTAGTTTTGGGTTGGAAAAATTTGAGTACGCTAGCGTTGTATAAACAAATTAACTTTTAACTTAAGTCTAACTGAATTAACTTAAGAAAATTCACTTTTAACTTTTAACTTTTTGTTATTGTTGCATATTAACTTAACGTAACTGATTTAAAAAAAATTATCTTACTCAGCCTCGCTTGAGCATATTACACGAATACCAAATATTGTTTAAAACAATGGTAAATTAAGTATTAACAGTGTGTCTATGTATAAATGCATAATATACAGTGTACACGTTTAAAAAATTACTTTCGTATTCAATGTTGATACGGTATTTACCGTGGAGTAGTATAATACTCTATGGTATTTACCATGGTTATAATAATATTGTAAAATTGTTTATACCTTATATCCGTGATAAGGTACATATTTGATAAGAAAAAGTATTCGGCTTCGGCTTCGGGATCGGGATTATGACTTCTTAGTTGATAATTTTTTTAATACTCTTCGTTCCCTAAAATATATAATAACTATACAATATTATTATACAGTTAATCACAATCATATTTTACAGCATTTTTATTTCTAAAATTTTAATTACTAATTAAATAATTATACACATAGCATATATTTGGATTTTATCTGTTAATTATCCCAATAACCTGCACCCAATAGTCATGTATCGTTTTAACTGAAGTAAAAAATTATTTGCTTATTATAATTTATAATGGCCAATCATTATGATGTTCCCAACTGGTGAGAATTGTTCATAGTTTCATACACACAATTTTTAACTTTAACTGTGGATCAACTTTTAGTGTTAAATTGTTGCAGCACGTTGATGAATATAAAAAATTTCATTTTATTATTTTTGTTTTAAGGGCCGGTAAACCGCCTGTAGGGTTACACTTGGACGTATTAAAAGGAGACAAATTAATTCAAGTGAGTTTCATTGTGCTTATAAAATTATACAACTGATTGAAACTTTAATAAAATGTTAACACTGTTGTTTAGAAATTAATGTTGGATCAGAAAAAGTGCTACTTATTTGGACGTAATGCACAAATGAGTGACTTTTGTATTGACCATCAATCATGTTCAAGAGTTCATGCTGCATTTGTCTACCACAAACATTTAAATAGAGCATTTTTAGTTGATCTTGGATCTAGTAAGTTGGAATGACCAATTATTGAGCTGTCATTCAGTATACTGTATATTATATTTAGAATATTCTACCACCATTTAGATATAAATTTACATAACAGTTTACATTATTCAAAAATTAGTTGAACAAAGAAGTAATACAAACACCTACAAAGTATATTATCTCTACGACTGTTTAATAGGTTTTCTATTTATACAAATTGATGTAATACAAGTTTTAATTTATTTATTTGAATAGTCTTCAAAGATCATAAATGTAATTAATTTAAGATTTATCTTATGTACTTATTTGTTATATTTTTCGGGATTTTGTATGCTCAGTGTCCATCGTTTAGTTTAGGTAGTAGTTTATTGAATGACAGCCAGTTATATCTATCTTCATCGTTATTTATATAATTATATTTTCAATTTAATTTAGCTCATGGTACATACATTGGTAGCATTAGAATTGAAGCTGATAAACCCACTCAATTACCAATAAATAGTCAGTTTCATTTTGGTGCATCTACTCGAACATACATTATTCGGGAACGTCCCCAATCTACATCAGCTTTTGGACCTCGTCCAATAATGGACCAGTTAGAGAGAGAATCTGATCATGCATCTAGTTTATTAGGACTTCCAGAAACTGATCTTGAACTTGATGTATGTATACAAAAATGAAAATCCAAAAAATTTAAATTCCATGAGTATATTTACAAATTTATTACAGAATTTGACTGAATTTAATACGGCGCAAAATCGACGAATATCAATGCTTGGTATATCAGAGGATGCATTAAAAACAAAACGAAAACGTACAAGAGGTGTCCATTTCAATGAAGATGAGCAGATAATCAATCCAGAAGATATCGATCCATCAGTTGGCCGTTTCAGAAACCTAATAAGAACTACTGTTATACCTAATAAAGTAAACATAACACGAAATATTTTATTGTTACCATACAGACATTTATATTTCTTATATTTTACAGAAATTCAAAGATGGTATGGGTTTTGCTATTGACCAAAATACTGCCAATGGTCAAAATAAAAACTACTTGAAAAATATGATTCCTGGTGCACATTTACACAATTCACTTTACAGTGATATCCCTGGTTAGAATCAATCTATTTTAGTTTATTGATATTTACCATAACGACTTATTTATAATTTATTTTATAAAACTTTACTTACTAGGTCCAGATGGGGACAATAAGCAGCATGGTTTCTTATCATCAATTGGTAATCGTCTTGGTATGAATTTACCAAATCCTGCACCAGATGTTGATATTAACCCTAGTATAGAAGAAATAGCCGTTCCCAATCCAGTAGTGTCTGAAAAAGTTGAACCCGCTTCAACAGAGCCTAAAAAGAAAAAATATGCAAAAGAGGCATGGCCTGGGAAAAAAAATGCACCAGCATTGCTTGTTTAAAGTATTTATACGTTTTTTTTATACCTGTCCATTTTTTCCATGTTCGATTTGGTAATTAATTATTATGTAATCATTTATTAATGAGTAATGACTTCTTGAGATTTTTTATTTTTACCTCTGTGAAAATAATTTGGAATACTATCTTACTGGATATTAGCTGTTTGTTACTGTATAAGTATGTGTTTGGAATTAATAAAATGTGTAATGTTGTATAACTATTATGTGCATTTTATTGTGTTACTTTTAATGTCTAATAACTACAAAATTGTATTATTTAAACGGTCCATTGTTAGTTTTTTTTTTTTTTTTTCATATTCTGCATACAACAAATTAGGTGTCAAATAAGATTTTAGTATACAAAAAAACCACATAAACAACTTCATAAATAGGTCAAAACTATAAAATTAATAATTTTTTTTATGAATTTGTATTCATTAAATCTTTAATGTCTTGCATTAAATATTTAATGGCATAGCCTAAATAACTATAAAGCTTATTAGCTAAGTACAAAACAAAAAATTGTATATCAAATAACTTAATCAAATAGTACAACTCTTTTAGTACAACTGTTATTTTTAAATTTCATAAAAGTTATTACCATAAGTACCACAAAAAGAAAAACCGAAAAGTTATTAAAATTGAAATTACCTCATTATTCTAGTTGTATGTTCTATATTATGTATATCTCAATATTTCTATTATAATTTAGGTACCTGGGTATCAAATACTGTTACAGCTGAAATATTAAACAAAACTATTACCCAAATAAAATTGCCCTTAAATATTATTGCAATTAAAACAATTTTGTTCAACTAAACAGCATAATAACAGTATATGTGTGTACTCTAACTGCCAAGGCCAACATACGTATACCTATTTTTCTGTAATATTGTTCTAGTTTATAAAGTATAAACTTTCTGTAGTATTGGGATTCAGCTCATTTCATTCAATTGAATAAATCATTTATTATTATTATTATTATTGTATTAATGTTTGATTAAAAAAATAAAAACACCACTTTTTAAGATTAAATGTATTTTGTTAAATATACTGAAAGAGTATACAATAATAATTAATTAGTTATGGTATAAATTATGGAAGACAATAGCAGTCTTAGATAAAACAAATTAATGCTCGTGTTGTATATAATATAATGTTTACTTATACTTAAACATAACAAAGAGTATAATTAATGAATATACTTTTAGTAGGTATTTAAAAGTGAATATATAAATATTACAAATTATAATAATATGATCAAAGGGTTTCTTGATAAACAACTACTAACAATATTTTAAAGTGTATGTAGTTCACTTTTTTCTCTTCGATCTTTATTAATAATATTATTATAAACATATGAATATAAAACAATTGTATTAATTGAAACTACTTATTCTTTAAAAAAAAAAACCTGGTTATAGTTTTGTATAATAATAATAGTAATGCCATAACTCGACAAAATATTATATATTATGTAAGTAAATTCTTACAAATAATATAAGTAGGTATATTAACATGATTATAAATTACCACAATATAATAATAACGTATAATTATTTTGACTAATCGCTATAGGTGGTATTTATTTATTTATTTTTTTTTTTTTTTGGAAGACTTGCAATTGACATTATTTAACAATTAAGCGCTAATTTAATATATAGTGTATACGTTCCTTATCCAAAGTATATAGATGCCTGGGATCCAAATGGATTTATATTTTTCGGTCAGAACCATTTGGAAACCAAACATCAACAACATTTAGAATCGTTTATATAATGGAAGACAATAAATTGCTACAAACAGCACAATTTGAATGTTACAATATCAATGATACATAAACAGTTGTACTTAATTAATATAATATAATAATAATATAAACATTACATTTATTGTTTAAACGGTTATTTAACATTTTAACTACCAAACATTCTTGTCGTCAAAATATTTCGGTTATTAAAAATTTTTCAATTTCAAGAATAATTTGTTTGGTTGTATGGGCTTTCAAGCCCTGGAAGACAAATGTTGTTTATCACAATATCAATTACACATATATTATATATATATTTCGGAAGACACAAACTACAACGGTCTAACCGTTGTATTCAAAAAATTGCTTATATACTTTTATACATACCCCTAATAAATTAGGTACTTATATAGGTAATTAAATTTGAATACTTCTATTAATTATCATTAAAATTTAAAAAAATGTAAAAATCGCATAACTATCTAATTATCGCTCCCTACCGGTATACAATAATAATAATATTGTCTAAACAAATTTGATGCTGGATTAATATTTGTATATTATATAATTTGGTGGGCATCAGGTGATCGCTAAAAGCTCAGGTATAGGTATAGACCTGACAGGTTAATGACTTTATCAAGTATAATCGTAAATTGTAATCTGCAATAACAATAATAACAACATGCGGAATGTGCAAACGCGATTCTATTTCAAAAAGAGTAAGAATTGCATAATATCAAAATGATAAATTAATGCTCGAAGAAGAGAAAGCCAAAACTCATTTACGGTATAAAAAATTGTAAATCGAAAAAAAATTAGGTAAGTAGGTAACTACATAACCACTAATCAACTATATAGTATACCTATATACTTATCCTATTATAGTGTCTACTGCCGTGCCACAACTTGAAAACGTTTTGGGAGTGTTCCGAGATTATGAATCGCACTGGCCGGCGAGGGGCTTATAAAATCGTTCGGATGTCTTGCTAATTTTTTTCTTTAGTGCTTTCAAAACATAATACAACAACTGAACAACAACAATGATATTCTGGATCCATATCAATTGTTGGTGTTACAATAACAACGATGCATTTGTGGATTATAGGCGAGTAAATAATAAAATGATCACAATAAAAAATTATACTATAGTCGGGTCCCGAAAATCCTATTGGCTATACAGTCACAGTATTCGATATTCGTTGCACCCTGCTCTCGGACGATCGTCATAGAGGTCTTTCGAGTTTTACGATTGCGTGAATCAATCTACGGAACCGAATCGTTTTTGGCGCGAAACAACGAAGACCTGTATAGGGCTTACTCACTCGTCCAAACGTTGTGTTGTTAGGTATTATTAACTATTGTCATTGGCACGTATACGTTATAACGAGTGTTGGCGAATTGTGATATTATAATGTAACAGCACCCGCAGTTATAATAATGTAATAATAAATAACGATGGTTGGACTGATATGTACTATATGTTAAGAACTGATGGATTTTCAAACGGAAAATAACTGCAAATATTCGAACCTAATCGCATGCCCGATATTGTTCGCTCCGAATTTACAGTTCGTTAATTGTTATATTTAATTATAAACAGATATTCTATTTATTATATTATTATTATATTTTTTAATGTTTGAAAGTTCGGTCTAGGTCGGTCGCGTGCAAAAAACTGACGGATTCGTAACACGATCACTTATAATAGCAAATAAATCAGATTCGAGCGAGTGCTGCGGATAAAGATATAATAATAATATCATACGACTTTAATGACGGGCATTTGACGAGTATGGTAGTTTGTGCATGGGTGGATATGTGGGTCGTGGGTACGAGTTCGGGAGGGAAAAGGAAGCTTGGGGACGAGGGGGACGTGGGAGCCGGACGTCCCAATGCTCAGAACGGCAACCCAATCTGGAACGCTTTGATGATGGCCGAGCCGGAGTCGTAGACGCCGATGACGCCGAACAGGCAGCCGAGGAATATGACGAAACAGTTGAACATAATGGTGCGCCACTCGAGCGAGTCACCCTTCAGCTTGAGGTGGAAATAGCACGGCCATATGAACGACAGCATGGTGCCGGTGAAGCTGCCGATGAAGCCCATCAGTATGGCGAAGTGCGGTATGGATATGGCCATGAACACGGTGCACAGGATGATGGCCACTCGGAACGCCAGACCCCAGACCTTGAGCTCGCCGTCCACATGCCAGATACTTGGGTATGGTGTGGCGGGTGGCCCGATGAAGAAGGACTTCTCGAGTATATCGCACGCCGCGTAGTACGGCAGCGGGTACGACAGCAGCACCTTGACCACCAGGAACACGTTGACCAAGCCCTTGAACGCGGGCGAGTGCAGGTTGTTGGTAATCACCTGTTGCGTGTCGTTCTGGAACGTCAGAAAGCACACGTAACCGAATAGCGACTTGAATACGCCGGCCGCGATGTGGCTCCACTCCAGCATCCAGTCGAACTTTGACCGGTCGATCAGGTTGCCCTCGAGTGTGGGTAGGAATATCTGCGACGTGTAACTGAACACGATCATGCCCAGCGATATGGGGAAGTTCTCCACGTCGATGGTCCATTTGACCTTGCTCCAGCCCCAGTCAGGCAGCTCCAGCACGCAGTAGCCCAGTATGATGATGTTGATGACTATGTGCGACATCGTGCACCAGAAGCTGAGTAACGACACGTGATGCAAGTGCTTCAGAAACCCGAGCGGTATGAGCAGCACTCCAGTGATCATCATCCAGCTACGCGTGTCGATCACGCCGTCCGGGAACGTGCCCTCCATCAGGTCACCGCACGCCACCACGTACAGTATGCACGTCATCAGCAGCTCGATCATCTGGGCCACGTTCACGGCCCGGGCGCCCCACACCGGCCCGAAACAATCCCGGGCGATCGACACGTACGAGTCGCGGACTCGGACCCGCTGTCCCGTGTTTAGGTCCAGCTCGTACAGGCACTCTACCAGTATCTTGCCCGTGTAACAGCATATGTACGCGATCCCGATCATGGCCACGATCGCCCAGTAACCGCCACGCAGCACGGCGAACGGCAGTGATACCACGAACATCCCCTGCGCAGGTAATCGTCAATATTATTACATATTATTATTAATATTATATTATACATATAGGTAGAGGTGGGTCGCATAAGGTCGTTGGTCCGTTATCACAACAGTAGGTACAGTCGATACGTGACGTTGCATATTATTAGGGTATCCAGGTCAAAATATCCACGGACTAAATATCTAAACCAGAATATCCAATTTTAAAAATTTAGTAAACATTTTTTATTAATATAAAATGTAAAATAATACAATTATGTAGATTAGTAGATAATTCCTAATTTTTAATAAAAATTAGATCAAATATATATTAACTTATAAAATTAGAATAGAAATAGAAAAAAATTATTAGAAAATAAATAGATATACGCAGCTAGTCATTGTTTTTGTAGTAAGTACATAAAGTGAACTATATAGAGAAGCTTTTAGCTCATGGCAATAGAAAAGGATGTTCTATACGAAATAGATAATTATTAAATTATTAAAATACTTAAGCCTAAAAGCACACTATTATTGAATAAGATTTTTAATTAAATATAAAAATATTGCAACATTAATAATTCAAATTATTTACTTGTATTATGTTATATTGGTACCTATACTTAGACTATTGTCAATGTTAAACTATTGTAAACATAAGTTTAATATTTGGTAAATTTGTAAGTGGGCTGGTATTTTTGTATTCTCCTAGGCCGAAATATCCGCCCTCTTTCCACCCCATAATTTGTGTTGAAAGCTATGATAAATAAAATGATATTTTGACTGTTGGATATTATACCTACACGTAAATATTTTGTCCTTGGATATTTTGACCGATTACCATTATTAGGTACTATAGGTATAGGGCTTGAAATATTTGTAGGAGTTGCGTGTTTTGTCTAGACACTCATTCTTTATATAGTATACAAACCACGAGAGTTTAAAAATCAAAAATTGTAAAAATGCATATTTGTTTATTTATTGTGCTTAAAGTGTATGTTTAATGTTTTCTAATAAACAATTGATAATTTTTTATGGCTTACTTATACCAATAGGTATGCAAATTGGAAAATATATTGAAAATCTATTTGTATTATTACTACCTATTTATAGGTACCGTTAATATTTTTTCAGTTCAATATTGAACGTCCCCAACCGCCAGCACACAACACATCAACACAGTTATATAATACAACAATGTTTATTGTTTCATGAATTAATATATTAACATAATATAATAATGTTAATAAATAATGCATTAATTAATTAGTTTTTTTTGAATCATGAAAAAAATGTCCTCACAATTGTTCAATTTTAGGTTCTATAACTTCCGAGCCCTAATTATTACGTTGTTAATATTATTATTATATATTGTAATATTGTCATGGTGCAAATATAATATATTAACGTGGGTATACGTGATGTCGTGATGATAATAATCTCTAATATATACCTCTAATATAATATAGAGTGATTCAAAAGATGCCTTAACTCTTAACCCAATGTCATTACTCATTATCTTATTTTATAAAATTATGATACATGTATGTGGTGAGGACGTGATGTGATGTAAAAAATATTTTATTAAATAATCAAGCTGTAATAATATAGTATCGTGAATTAGAATAGTGTTCAATATGGCCCCCCAAAATCATATGGTTAACTGTTAAACCTTAACAATTTTTTATGTGTTAAACTTTAACACATAAAAAATTGTGAGTCCTGATGCGAAAATAATTGCGAAGCCTGATGCGAAAATAATTGTGAAGCCTAACATAGATTTCGATTTACAAGTGAATTTACTAATTACTATCCACTTTTTTACTGTACTTGCTTCATACTAATTGATTTAAAATAGCAAACCTCTAGTTCATTCTCTCTCTTGCTCATTCGAATTTAGTAACACAAAATATGTTGTGGGACTTGTCGTCCTTATTTTTACGCCTCGTACATTTTCCTAGCCTTATTTATAATTTATAAAATATCGAATATAATATCTATAGTTAATTGTGTAAACAATAAGTTCCGTAACGTTAAAATATAGAAGAACTCAAGCACTTAACATATGAAAACACGTCGTGTGGCATATGAATAAATTTTATGAATTTTACAAATATATTTTTTTTTGACTTTATATCGAGTTAGAATAATATCTTTATCCACCGATTATAAAGTTTATACAATACGCGTCGTAGTATTTTCGAAAACTGATTATCGACCCATTTCGAGTCCCTAAACGAAATTAGATTTTCCACACTGTTATTGTCGTACAAAGTTTTACGCCAAAGGCAAAAGTTGTAGAAGATTTATTCGATTTTTGCACCTCATATTGTTGTTTATCGTGTAACACATTTAGCTAACATAAGTTTCCAGATATTATCTTTTATAAATTGCCTACGTAACTTTATATTTATATAAAAATTATTTAATATGTATGTATATATATTTACGAGGATGTATAACCATTAACCAGCGTGTCTTAAGAATACTGTTTTTAAAAAAAGAATAACTAAAAAAAAATATAATTTTATAGATATCATATAAATACATTATTATTATTACATGCGGTTATCAAATACATTATTAATTGTACATCATTACCTATATTGTTGTACGTGATATTGTGATAATGCATAATATAACATATTATAAATTATAATCAATATATTAAAGTGCGTCACATTAAACAAGTATCAGGTGCATTTAAAGTAGTTAACTCAAAAGTAAAAAAAAAAAAAGGTGCGATTAAAAATATTGTGATCATAATTATTTTCAGTGGCGTATTTACGGGGGGGGGTCCCCGGGTCTGGACCCCCCCAGAAAAAAATATAATATAATATAATTATTACATCGTAACTCGTATGTGTTTTTTTTATATTATAAACTTGTAGGAACCTAATATTTAGACCCCCCCCAGAAAAAATTTCAAAATACGCCACTGATTATTTTGAAATAGTGCATAATATAATGATAAAATAAGTGAAGGCTATTTTACATAGTGCATGTCAATGTTAATTATTATCCGGACTCACTTAATTATTACTGATCATGAAATTCGTTCACGGTGTAGCTCGACGATTCACCTAAAATAATTTATTTATAGGTCTTAACTATTTATATTTTATATAGGTACCTATTTTATAACTTCTAGAACGAGAACGAGTAATTAGAACAACGGTACTGATAGGTAATGAATATAAAATATACTAAAAAAAAATATGTAAAAATCAGGTAAAACATTAATATGGATATATGAATACAAATAGTTGTTTTTTATATCGTGTTTGCACGTGTATTGTGTATATATGTATACAATGTATTACCTATACAATTATAGATTTACTATACAAGATACACAAGATTCTTACCATACAAGATTCTTATACACTTAGTACTCTGATATAGGTATTAAGATATTTTAGTACTCGACCATTGATTATACATATACATAGGTAATATAAAATACATATATTTAATCAATGACTCCACTATACACTTTACAAGTTTACAACATATACAATTTCAGATAAAACAATAACTATTATTTTGGTAAATTACCTATCACGGTATCACCTCTCTCTCACTCTCTCTTGGCACCTATCAAATTGTTTTAGGCTCAATTTTTTATTTTTATTTTTTTTTTGGGGGGGGGGGCTCAGAGGGGCTTACCTCATCCAAAAATGTATATTTTAATTTAAGCATTAAATCCTTTATTAGTTATCTAATCTACATAATTCAGTAAACGTTTTTTAAGGAGTTATTTTGTAAAGTTTAAACATCGATTTACTATTCGTGTGTTTTCCGTAGATATTGGATCCACTCACAGAACATTATATTATACACGTTAGGTTAATAATGATAGTATTACAAATTAGTAATCGCTATATATTTTCCATGAAATTTAAATTTGTTTGGAATATAGTCGGTATACTCGATAGTAGTGGATTATAATATATTAAATATAGCCAATATAGGAAAGTGGATGAGGAAAAAAATTAATTTATTATATTACATTAAGTAATATATTTTAAAGGTATATGAACAGGGAGTGTGGGCAGAGATCCCCCCTCCCCAACTGGTAAGTTTCATTTACATAGTAAAGCCCCTTCAAGTCAAAATCTGAAATTGCGCCTATGCAAAACGTATTCCATATTTATAAATGGTTCATAATATAGTGCTTAGTCGGAATATATTATTGAGTTAACAAGTTGACAATTATTGTATTCATTTAAACCGTCGTTCTATATAAGACGAAAAGAATTATTTTTGATAAACACTGCGATTTCAAGTTTGGTTTTCAATCTACAGGTGTGACGCATTTTTTTCAAGCCATTTTACTCTTTAACCAAAAAATGATTGACTAGAAAAAAAACACGTCGTATCTTATAGGTAGGACCACAATGTTTCGAGGTCTATTAGCACATATATAATTCTCCTGGTCTGGCCCATGTGGCTTTTTTTTTTAAGAATTTATGTTAAACTGTAAAGGGAATTACCCAGAGATACCGCAAGTAACCCAATCTCTATATTTTTTCTTAGAAACACCCCTTATAGCGCCTCGCCGTCTATATAATGTACACACTAATATTATAACCCGTAAACTCTATATATTGTAAATCATTATTCATCAATCGTTATCATCAACCTCGCCGTGGTCGTATTATAGGTACCTGTATGGCGTTGGTGACGTTCCACGCGGCTTGCCATTCGTCGATCTTATGGCGGCCGCGACCAAACTCTCCGCCGCCCGACGAGTCCTCATCGAAGCTACCGTCGTCCATGCTGAACGCTTGCGGCGTCCTCTTGGTGACGCCGTCGCCGTCCACTCCGCCGTCGCGTTTCTCCACGCCACCGTACGACGACAGTTCCGAGTTGCACGTGGTCCGGAACGGGTTCGTGTCCGGCTTGCCACCGCCCTGCAACCGGTTCCGCTCGGCGTCTACGCCGTCCGCCGCCCCGGTCCCAGTCCCGGCAGACGCCGCGCCCTCCGCCGCCCGATCACCACGACGTTTCATGATGGCTTCCACACATGGACTGTCCTCGGGCACGTACGCCTTGACGGCGGCCCACACCACGTTCATGGCGGCCCCGAACGGCGGCACGTAAAACCGACCGAAATTGGCCATCGACCGCCGCTACAGCTGCGGTGGCGGCCACCTACCTATATATGCGACGACTGCAACTGCTGCACTCGCGCACACTGCGGACACGATCCTAATATTATAATGTATTACAACAGAAGTGATGTTTTATAATGTCGTCGGTACCTGTCGAAGAGTCGAGAGGGAAAGAGAACCAAAAAAAATATATTGATTTGATATTATTAACGAAAATTATTGATAAATAATGATATTATGTATATAGGTAGGCAGGCCGTTATATTATTATTATAACGATGTTATTTCCACAGCCACCACCGCCGCCGCTGCCGCCGTTTCCAATGCCGATGTAATAGTGGTCGCCGCCACCGCTGTCGCCACTGTAAGCATATTTTCCCCGACCGGCTGGTAAAATGAGATGGCCGTGCTGCAGTGCTCGTGGGCGAAAAACGAAAACAGGAAAAAATCAAAATGAAGATGAAAGCGGTGTTGGATGTAACGGGGGAAAAAACGCGCAAGCCGTGTGTCGTCGCGGCGCGGAGCGGAAGCGATTGGGAAACCGCGCTCGGAACGGATGCGGGAAGGGGGGTTGGCGGCCGGGCGGCGGCGCGGATCGATGAAAAGCGGGCGACCGATCTCCTCGTGCCCTCTCTGACCCACAGCCACCCCATCAGCGGTGCAACGCATTCTAGTGACAAAATATACTTGTATGGGTGTACGGGGTGGGCCCGGGCCCGGATCGTTCCAATCTATATGACTATAATATATTATTATGTATAGTTATACCGCTCGAAAAACGGGAATCAGGAATTAGTGGTATATATTATTATACCATAATGCCGGTTAGTGATATCATGTACCTACCTATACTATTAAGTATTATTAATTCTAAATCTGAGGTTATTTAATTTTCCACACATTTCTATGTTATAGAAACAGTTCAATAATAGTTCTTAAAAAAGAATAATTTAAAAACGATAAGGGGTCCGTACAAAAACCAGACAACTCCGACCATCAGAGATGGGAAATATAATGTAACTTGGAGCTATCTTGTTTTTTTTTTCCATTGAAAAACCAGAAAACTCTGGTTGTTTTTTTTTTTGTTTCATGGAAAGATTTAAAAATGGAATTGTCTACATTTCTACTACAGAACGTATTTAGACGAATTTCCTATATACATTTTAAATAAATATATCTTATTTAATGGCTCAACGGTGGCATACACTGTATAATATATTATGTATGTAGGTATATGTTTATATATTAAAATTTAAAATGCAGTCAACAATTTAAAAAATATATATATTTTATTAGAAATTCCTTAACTTATTTATTAATTATTATTATAATATGTAATAATGCCAAATATGGATACCTATAGGTAATAGCATAACTAATAAGTGATTGAGTGACTGTTACTTGTTATAGTTGGTAAGTGGTTACCGATCTGCTGTAGGCCTGTAGATGTCTAACGGACAGGATGCTGTAATGGATTGGTTAAATTTTAATAATAATTTAAAACCATTGTATACGAAAAACCATTCTAAACGATTAACGAAGATGGTAATATGATATTTTTGTTATTAAAGTTGAGTTAATAATTATAATATATAATATCTATACAATTATTTTGAATTTAATATGCGTATACAAAATACAAACGCTGTAGATGTTTACTGAGAAAATCCGTTCATAAACTGCACTGTAAAAATCAAAATTCATTAATTGCAATATAGGTATTATATAATTTGATACACGTCACAGCACGTGTATACAATATACTGCAGTGTACATGGGCGATATAAGATGTGTCGTGCGAGAGTGCGACACCAAATTCTCTTGGTCTAAAAAATGGGGTTGAACAATCATTGGAAATTTGTAATAAAGATGTTGGCAGTGCACGCGTTACTCTGCTAATATAAATATAATATAGATAATATTATGGTGTCGTTTAACAGACATTCTAGGTGTGAGGGTAAAATATTATTTGTGGGTATAGGTACCTATATATGAAACTTTAAGAGTAGATTATTATATTTTATTAGTCCACACAATGACATTTTCAAATTTGATTTTTTGGCAAAAATGAATTTAACCTACTTTAGTAGATACCTAATAACGTCTAATACTAAAACTAATCACAATAATATCATAAAATATACCTACTTAGTAATATTATAGGCTGAAAGTCAGTCTTCGCTTACAATCGTTTTTCGTATACAATCATTTATATCATTGAATTCAAATGTTACACCATCCATTACATAAACCCACTCGGGCCACTCGTATCCAACTGTACTGCAGAGCGACATCCACTTACCCTCTTTTTTATTATTCTTGTCGGTAATCACCTTTTGGAGTAGTAAAAATGCTTTGATTAAAAATCTTTTCTGATACTTGGTAGGAACTAGTTGTTACCTACTATTTATTGTGGGGTCAAGAGTATAAAGTATCACTATTTTTAAAATGCCATTGCGTACAGTAAAATTTATAATACATACGTAAAAGTTATCTATTAATTATTATATTACATTTACCTGACCAAAAATACCTATCATTATTATAATATTTTATTGATATATTTGATGCGTGACAAAAACATTGCTAGTACCTAGGTAGTTGTTACTTTGCATGGTCTCTCACAGGGGGGGCATGTTCAGTGTAGCCCGTTAATTTGTTAAAATAAATATAAATATACAAATACACTCTAATACGTAAAAAAGAAACAATATTTTATTTTTGTATAGACAATTTTACAATAATATTTAAAATAGTTTAAGTACATAAATCAAAAGTATTTTTTTTTTTTTTATATATCTTATTATTTTTTTTGTATTTTTGTATTTTTATTATTTTTTTTTATAATTTTATATAATTTTTGATATATAACCGGCTCAAAGTGACCTAATGGGGGGGGGGAAACACCAGACAAGGCACAATAAGTAGGGAGAGTGGTACGTGAATACTTGATGACGAGGTGCTTCCATAAGCAATAAGGCTACTGGTCACCTCTATACGTTTTCGAGGCACATCCCGCAGGCGGACGAGTGCAGTCGCCAGTGCGTTTGCTCGCGCGGGTGACGACCATCATGACGGCTGGCGAAGTCCCGACCGCGACGGCCACGGGAGCGATGAGACGATTTGAAGGCGAGCGGCTAGTGCGCGATGCTGTGAGCATCGACGATGCACAGGTACTGAAGACGACTGATGCGTGGCGACGGCGAAGGAAACCTAAGACACTGAGCGAGCAGAGGCAGCTGTTGGTGCTACGGAATCGGCCGGCGACCGGGGGGGACGTGACTCAACCGATTGCCACTGGGCGAAAACGGGAGTGGATTGTCGGACAGCGCCGCAAAGGCCCTGATCCTCTCCACGTGATTTTCGCCCTGACTCGGCTGAGTCACCATCCGGTGGCCGTCCTGGAGTCGCGAATCGTCGTACCCTGAAACGTTATCCGTTTCCACGAGTCCGGCGATGCTGACGTCCATGTTCCTAGCTCAGCTGAATCGCTGGCCCGTTGTGTTTTGCAGTCTCCGCTGCCTTCGCCTTCGTGCACTCTGCCATCGTCGCGTGGTACCGCCTGGGCAGTGGGTGGTATCGTTGCCCGCACCGGAACAGCTAGCCACCGACGTCGTCGTCGTCCATCGCTCCTGGTGTGACCGAAGCAGCCGAGTCCGCCCCGAGTCGTCTTGATGGTTTCGGGTGTCGGCAACCGCGAGCTCGCGACGCTGGCAACTGCGATCTCGTCTTTCTGCGCTTGGCCGGAAAACGTATAGGGTGACTTACCGCCGGGCACCGTAAAGTGCTCTTTCACGTACCACTACCCCGTCGCCGCCATCTTGTCTTGGTGTCTTCATCTGGGGGGAGGGGGTTTACTACGCTGCTGGCTTCACGTCCTTCGGCAACAACCACAGAGCAGCAGGCGCTTAGCGCCTTTCCACGTGATGGCGAATAACCGCCTTGTCCTACCACGTGAATTTTTGTTCGGTACTGCAGTGATGGTTGTGTCCGGTGCGTACTTTCCGTCCAGCATAGCCGTAAGCCGTGTCCCTTTCTTTCCCGACTCCCACAGATGGAATATTCAAATATTTTCTGTCTTTTCATATTTTACCTGCACTTGGTCTTCGGTCTGCTGTAGTCCGTGGCCCTGCTCTGCTGGTCCGAGCGGCTCCGAGGGCTCTGGTACTACAGCTGCAGCGTCTCCGTATACCATATACGTCCATAGAGGTTTCTCAAAATGTGTTCTTAGGTATAGAAATTGAAATTATTAGTAATAATTATTCATATTAATATTAATATTAATACGTAATTTGGTTTGGTAAAAAAAAATTAAGATTATTATATAGGTACAGTTAATTAGCAAGGCATTATCTCTATAGAGTCCAATCATATAATAGGTACCTACCTACTGTTACTTCACACTTCACAGGAAGTTTAAAATCTATAATGAAAATGAAATCCCTTGTTAAAGTGCTTAAGTTAATCCGTTTAACTAACTCCGTTTTAGTTAAAAGCTACATGCCCAACAATTTACCCTTCGACCTCCTGTACGTGTACCTGTGTCTCATTTGCTTTTAATTGGACGATATTTCACCAATTATATATACCCTTTTACACATAATGTGCTATAATACCATACTCAAATATATAAATTCTGCCTAATATAAAGTGAATTTTATGTACTCATGTAATATATTGCATATTTTACAGTAGTTCTGTTAAATACATTGTTAAAAAGTAAATTCTATAAACAATCGTTAACTTCGAAAATATATATCTTTTATTTTACAGAACTTTGTACTTCGTTCATACTACCTATAGTTTGTATCGGATTAGAGATTATTTATTAGCTATGATGCTTTATCACTTTATCATAAATAAAAACATTATTAATTATAGAATAATTTAATAATAAAGTGATTAAAATGTATGCGTTTTTCTACACATTATTACACTGGTCTTCGAAATTAGAACTATATAGGTATTATTGTATTAGGTCATGCGAATGAACATCTTTTGTAATTAATTTCGAAAATTCGTCATTAATTATTAATATACCAAGCACCTATAGACTGTAGTTACTTTCGTTTCTGCTAAACGTTAATAAACATCTGTACCGGAAATTACATCTACCTACTATAATATCCATAGGTACCTAATATTTTATCTACACTAACAATAATTATAATAATTGTTATAACTTATAAGCTTTTATTAATATCTACAGACCAGAGACCACTATAATAATCACTACCTATATATGTGATTTATATCTTTTATAATATAAATATAGGAGGATGGAGTGGCAGATACCTTTATGGGTGTCCACTTAAAAATTCTGTCAAAACAAACACACACGTGTTTAAAACCTACAGTTCCACAAGCTAATGACCTCAGTTGTGGAGGCCCAAAACCAAAAAAAAATATATATATAAATATAATAAATATATACCTAATGGCCAATACAATACAATAATATTACATAATTACTGTTTTACTAAATAAAGTAATACATTTATTTTACTACTATCCGAACCCGCGCACTTCGTTGCCCGTAAAAAATGACAAATCTTAAAAAAATTGTGTTTGTTCAGCTCTTTTTGGGTGTAACTCGTTGCAGTAAGTGCAACTCATACACAATGGTACTATGGTAGGCAATCCAACTATGTCGGATCACGGACAATGTGCGATAGAATATCAAGTAGGTAGTAGGAACCCAGGCAATCAGCGACTATAGGTGCAACTCAGCCACCTTTGTAGGCAATGTATGAAAATTCGATTTGAGGCATGCCTGTACCTGATCTGTCCGATAACCAATATGGCAACCAATAAAATAATAAATACTACTTTCTACTATATTTATTTCTTCTATAACCAATAGCAGCCATTTAAAAACAAAAATATCCAACGTTAATGTCAAAATTCCTGTTTGAGCACCTCCTCGGATTGGACTTTATTTATAAATGTATGCCTATGACACTCACAAGGAATGTGGCTTTCTATTGGTGAAAGAATTTTCGAAATCGGTTCAGTATACCCTCAACAACGTCAACTAACAACTCATCTTTATATAATAGTATCTATAGATAGATTAAGCATAAGTAATACAGTAGGTAGGTAAGGTATAGGTTGAACTAATTTTTAATTTTTCATTGTGACATTGTGTGTATATAATATAATAATATAGGTACTTTAAGAGTTTCAAATACCAATTAATACATTTAAATATTTTAAGTGACAACAAAAAAACTAAAATTATTCTCCGTTTAAATATCTAATTTCGTCCAAATTTGAACTTAAAAGTTAAAATATCTATAAAATAAAATTGCATTTACTATAGTTATAAATATATTTTAGATTTTTTGGTTACAATATGAACTACTTATGAGAAACTTTGTTTTGAATGTTCAAACCTTAGGGCTTAGGTAGGTATAAAAATTTAATAATTTATACATTCTAAAAAAATAGTGCCTGTAATTTATTAAAGGTACATTGGTACTATTTTTTTAGGAGCATTTAAAGTTAACATTTTGACAAAATTCATCAAAATCTCAAAAATGCACAAAAATTTTTTTAGTTTAAAATGTATAAATATATTATGTAACCATTGGCAACATAATGGGCTTCGGGTTTTCCAATTTTCATAGGGTACCTAAAACCCTAAAATGTTATGATTTTGTTAAAAAATGCACACGTGTGCTACCTTTTAGCTACCAATAGGGATTGAAAAAATAAGCTATAAAACCCCTCTAAGTCTCAAGGAATCTATTGATATTATAATACTTTTATTGAAAACTGTCCAGTCATTTTTGAGTCTATTCCTATATTGACTTCGGGTATCTATGCCAAAATAGATATTTTTAGCGAAAAAATGTACTGCTATATACTATAGGTGTACTCAGTTCGCGGGAAATCAGGGTCGATGTAACTTGCTTTTTGAACTAATTCAATAGAGATGGACAATTCGCCTGTTGGCGGATTGAAGATAACACGTTTTAATGTACCTAGAATATACATCAAACGTAGTATTCAAATTACTCTCTATTTTTGCAAAACTCTCATATTTGTTTAAGATATAATTAATTTATTCGAAGCCATTAACTCGACAATAATAGGTCAATTCACTCTAATATCAAAACTAACAGCACAGTATTGAAACAAATGAATGAAAATCATACGTGTTTAAGACAGCAACAACAAATTGCAAAATATAAATTATAAAAGATAAAAAAATTTAATACAAATAATTGTATTATATATTTCAATGTATATGATGCAGTTAACATCAACATTAATACTCACAAATGATTATTATTCATTAACCCCCAGTGTTCAAATTGGAAAAATAAAAAAGGCGGACTCTTAAATTTAAAAATATTAGTATGACTTATGACAAATTATTAAACTCATCCTTAGTTATGTGGACATTGGGGAGCACTCAAACTAATAATTACAATATACGTACAAGTGTGCCAGACGCCAGTAATAATAACTACTTACTAAAAAATTAAATTATGAGCTAGGTATTGAAATAAATATTTTTATGCAATAGTTTATTTTTTTTACAATAAAATAGTTGTAATTAAATAAATAAATAAAATTATATTCCATAGCTGTTATGCAGTATCATAATACATAATAATTGTAATAGCTAATAAGTTATACAATGTATTAAAATAAATTTAAATATCTTATTTAATACAATTTTGCGAAAACAAAAGACAACAAAAATACTGTCATATTAAAAAATGTTTTGTGAAAAAGAATGTAAAATTCTCATTCTAATGAAAATAATTAGTAGTGTGCTTTCAAAATATAAATAAATAGTAGAAGTGCTTCATCCCCTCCCAATCAAAGCAAATCTGTAATAAGTTAATAAGATTTTTACTAAGTTTAGGATAATATCCTTTTTTTTTTAGTTATCAACAACAATAATTATAATACAACAATAATGTAACGATTTTGGAGAACATTTTTTTTTTTTCAAAACAAAAATATAATATTGAAATACAAATCATAAACATAGAAAACATTTAATTAAAATCAATAACTTAATAATTAAAAACAAATATTTTTTTGATATTTTAATGTTACACAATTTAACATATTAAGTAACTTAATTAATGATATCGGGAACACTGTTTTTGTATTTTGAAATAATATGATACTTGAGTAGTCTCTGTTTATTAGATGCAGAATTTTGAAACTGGTAAAAACAACATATGTTGGATAACAAACTCTCATTTAATGCCAAATCTGGAAATTTTTGTATAGCATCTTCCAACAATGTTATTGCATTATTTAGTTGGCCTTCATAAAATAAACATGTAGCCATGTTATTTAAAGCCTGTAACAGAGGTATTTACTATTTATACTTTTCATTTTTAGTAATAATATTTAATGAATTATAAAACGAGCAATATTTACTACCATGACTTTATTTGAGTCCATTATGTATGCATTTTCAAAATGTTTATAAGCGTCTTTGTAATTATTTTGAGCAATGGCCAATAAAGCAGCATCTATTAATTCACGGTAATCAGCTTTATTTTCACCCAATGTTCCACTATATATAGTATAATATTTTATTAAGTGACAAATATACATAAAAATGAATCAATTGCCTCATACAAAGATACTCACAGTGATTGAGGTTTCAGTCGAGATGATTTAAGAAAGTATCCGTGAGCTTTGAGATCACCAACTTGTAAATAAATACGGCCCATTGCAGATAAGAGTGATCGAGAGTGTTCAATTGTGTATTTTAATCGTGGAGTTTCAATGAGATCTTTTAATAATTTAATTGCGAGCTTAAAATCCTAAATATTTAAAATTAATTTTTTTCCAAAATAAACTGTAATTTGTTTTTGGTACCTTTTGGTTTACAGCACAGTTAATAATTGAATGTATAACTCTTGCTTCTCTTGAATACCAAAGCAATTTTGAAGTATTTTGGTCTTGAATTGTCAACTCTACATTTCTACCATCCTCGGTAAGTCCATTATCTAAATTTGTTATGATCTAAATATAAAAAAATACTTAACATTAAATACAATTGAAAGCAAACATTACTATTCAAATTCATACTTTTTTAACACCAACGAGTACTTCGAATAGTTTACTATAAACATTAGTTGATGAAATAACATACTGGGGTAGCTCAGCAAGTATAAGCCTAAAACTAAACGGAACAAGTGTCCCATATTTGTTCCCATACAGCTCCTTATACCACTGTATGTAAAGATCTGGACGATCTAAATCATCCCAGGCCAATGCTTCTTTGCTAATGATTTTCCAAGCACAAATTTTCACCAACAGTGCAAATCTTGTGAACCACAACTAAAATGCTACTGTTATTATCAAATATTATACAAATTACATAATTTAAGGGATGAATATTACCTGAAGTGAAGTTTTTGTATGTTTACTTGGATAGCCTACTTGCCCAGGACCTTGACCATACATTGCCAACAATCGAGTTGTCAAGTTTAATGCTTCAGAAAAGTTGCTCTCTTCAATCAACAATTTCAAACCATGTTCGTCCTGTGGAACTTCATCTATTGTTTTACTTTTAAACGCAGCTGCCTCGGTTTCTCCAAGGTATGACACTAGGTTTTCATATAATTTAATTGTCTATACAAAATATTGTAACAAATCAATATTACAATAAATTAGTATATTATTAAATATAATTATTATTATATAGGTATACCTATAGGTACATACAAAATTAACATTTTCAACACCGGGCATGGTTAACATGTCTCTGGGCAATGTATGATTCATTTGTGAAGCCTTTTCAAGTGTATTTTTTGTTTTAACAGATGGTATCCAAGCAAATCGCCGCCTTTCATCTTCGGCTGGAATTGAAGATAGTTCATACTCATGATTGAATATATCCATAGGATCAACACTGTTATTTCCAGTGTTTGAGAATGTTGCTGTAAAAATATAAATTTAAGATGATTATTATGTTGACCTAAGTTTACTCTAGAACACTAGATTGTTTACTAATATTTTGACGATAATATTGTATGGGATATAAGAACATCTTATGCTAATGACTTTTACCCACAATGTTAGGAAACACTGAAACAGTGTAATAACTAATAATCAGTGGCGCCGAACCTTTTTTAAACCACTGGGGTAAACCTTGTTTAAGGGCACCCACCTACCTACCTTTTATACATAAAAGCAGTCACTCATGACCCACCCAACCCCCCCCACTATCAACTAAAAATGTTCTGGGATATTTACCCCACTTCCCATATGTGTTCGGCGCCACTGCTAATAATTATTAGCTTTTAGAATACATGAACAAATGCTAAGGTAGTATTTCATTACGTACATATAATTTACAATTACAGTATTAATGTACTTAAACTATGACATACTAGACATTCGCTAAACTAGACCAGTTTAAAATCATCCCACATTATGAATTATTATGTAATAATTTATTATCCCGGATAATGAACCACGTAAATGTATGGTCCAAACAACCCATTTCATTATTTTTCACACCAGTCTTAGCCTAGCGAATATATAGAATGCGTAACCATTATGGGCAAGTAGGTACTACTATTTAACTATATTAACAACTGAAACTAACGTTCTCGAAAGTCAAATGACGGACTGTTATTATGACTATCCTCTAGAGGTTTGATAATGTCAAATATGTCCGTTTTTTTAGTTTCGATCTGTTGAAAAATACGACAAACTGCAGGTTCTTCTCGTTTGCTGTCGGTTGCAGCGTGAGACGATATATTATCGAACAAGTTGGACGATGGCGATGGATCCTTGAAGTATTCGTTAATAGCTGGTCGCAGTTCTGGTGTTTTCCGATCCATATTACTGCCGGTAATTTTATGAAAATAATAAATCTAAGATTTTAGATTTCACTTTTTGATCATTGTATGACTATTTATTGTACAATTTACGTTTTTATATAGTTTTTAAAATTTAAATGAATCAAAAAATAAATAAGAAGTCTACCTAAATAAACCTAATGCAATTTAATTGAATTCTTATCAAAGTCGACTTATCAGTCCATAATATGCAGCAAGTAAATAATATTATTATCATAGAACTTATTGTTCTGTGACTACAACTGACTAGCCTGCTGACAGTCCGTGTACGAACTACCACAGAATAGAGAACTACTAAGATCACCTATTATGTAACAATATCTAATATCTAAACAAACAGCTGACAAAATCCCGTTACTTTTATTAATCGTACAAAAATAAATGTAAAATATATGTACAAAATGTACAATATACAATTATTTTTTATCAATCAAGTGGTTAATTTTTTTTTTTGGTTACTTTTTAGTTTTTCTCAGAATGTAACGTTTATGTAATTTTGTGGATGTGGACAAAAATGTGAGCTCACCCGATTAAAGTACAAAAGAATAAAGATTACTTTTACATTCTACTATTCTAAATTACGTTTTTCAAACTGCATTACCTACTAAGTCTTCAATTATCACATTATAGTATTATACCTAATAGGTTTCGTTGTCGTATTTAAAATTTTCAAATTCATATTCTTTCAACGACGTGTCTCTCCGCAGCAGCCGTATTCTGCCACATAGATTAGATATTGTCATAAATTCCTTTTCGAGTTTGACAGCGTTTTTTCATCCGATCCGAATTAATATTGTAATGACGTCTAATGTCAAAACAGAAAATAATACTAAACTGGGCACAATGCCGTCGCAATTGTTGAATGTTGTAATTAACGATTCTAATGGTAATAAAAAAAACCATACCGTGGCGACAATTCCATCAATGTCAAAGTCAATGAAACGAGCCCTGGAGACGGAGACCACATTAATTCCTATATACTCAAAATCCAATTTCAAGTAAGTGAATCGATTACAAATGCATGATATTGTCAATGGTGTAGCGGAAGGTACTCGGGTGTACCCACCTCCTAATTTAATATTTATGCGTGTACCCTTAACCAAATCCGTGGTACACAAGTTAGGCGTAGACGCCCAAGTAATTTTTACTATGATTAAGGCGTGTACCCATACATTTTTTAGGAATACTCACTGGATATAATACATGTTATGTTAAATGTTCAATTATCAGTGAATTGTGTTTATTCGGATTTCAGGCAAGTCAAGTCAGTAAATGGACATTCTGGGCGCAAGGGTATATTAGCTGTCAACGATTTTCCAATAAAACTACCGGCTACACTATTAGCCGAGTGTACCATTGAAATTTCAAATAAACCTGATAAAAATTCCATGTAAGTACCTAAAGCTTTTGAAACGTTTTTAAAATCTAAATCTTATATAAAACCTATTTTGTAGATTTTAATTTAAAAAATAATATAACCTATTTTAGTAATTTTTGGAATTTCAAGTTAAAATTCCCAATTTTTCCAAAAATAGCATGACCAAAAACATTAATATTGCTTGTATTTGTATAGCTTTCTCCATATTTTAGGAGTTCAATAGAGAAAACATAGGTACTTATTCTTTATCATGAATTTAACAAATGCAATAATCATGAATTAAAAGTAGCATGTATTGTCTCAATTTCAATTTTACAAACGTAAAACAAAATGAATATGAAGCATTTTCTATTTAGTGGTGTTAACTTTAATTTTTGAGTAAATTGACCTACCATCTTACTTAAATGTCAGAACGTTCTGCCTTCTCTTGTTAATTTTTATAATATTTTAATTGTATAAGATAGTTATGATAATTTTTAAATGTTTATATGTTACATACTCATAACACAATTTTAAAACTAAAATATTGTAAAAATCGACAAGAAAAAAACTTTGAAGTTTGATATTAGGTCAATTTATTCTAATATTATTTTTTTAATATTCTTTAATTATTTTTAACATTATTTTTTTTTTTTACAGACATCACAATGAAAAAAGTTTAACTATTAGAAACCGTAATTTAACAAATTATCAAAACAAATTTGCAGTTGAAAAACAGGTAAAATATTGTATAATACTAGGAAGTGGAGACCTGCCTTTTCAAACCCTTGTACAAATATTAAATTATTATAGTTGATGATTGTATATTTAAAAAAATGTATGAAATTGTTATTTACACTAAAATAATAGAATAAATTTGTAAAAATTGTATAAAGTTTTATTTATCTTAGTTTGACACAATAATGTATAGTGTAATATCAGATTTGTATTTTGTATTTTATTTTGTGATGCAGTTAAAAGCTACAGAAAATGAAGTATCCGAAGTAGATATTCGCGACATGATGACAAGCGTTGAAGCTGTTTACTCTGACGATGAAGACATTCCAAAACCTGCTGTAGGACCCTGTAATTTAGAAACACAACGACCAGAAATTCTTTTTCCATTTTCATGTGAATATTGTCCAAATAAATTCAGCAACCGTGGTGCTCTCTGGCAACATACTGTTGCTTTTCACACTATTGAAAAAACATGTGAATGTAATTTATGTGGACGTAAATTTTATCGTAACTGCAGTCTTGCACTACACATGAAAAGCCACTCAGACGAATACAACTGCGCATGTTCAATTTGTGGTCGAGAATTCAATCGATTTACATTATTGCAGAGACATGCCAAGCTACACTCAGAGGTTGCTCAATACAAGTGTACAGCTTGCAATAAGTCGTTTGACGATCTGAACACATTGCAGTTGCATGCAGCTGAACATAAAGACAAATTGGCATGTGAACAGTGTGAAGCTGTATTCACCACTAAAGAATCATTGGACATACACATGGAGGCTATGCATGGTGACCATCAAGAAGATGTCATACAAGTCAGGATGAATGGAGGCGAAAAATCATACGCATGTCGTTTTTGTGGTAAAACTTATGGGGCCAAAGCTATAGTTAAGAAACATGAATTAATCCACACTGGCGAACGACTGAAGTGCGAAGAATGTGGTATTGAGTTTACACAGAAATCATCACTAATGCGACATACAAAGCGCATACATCCAACTGCCAACACATAGAAGAAACAAATAAAATTAGTTCTTTCAATTCCAATCGTAATAACATAAAATATTTTATACATATAAACATATATTTTTAGGTATATAATTTATATTACATAAAAGTAAAAAAAAAATAATTTATATTTAAACATTATTTTACGCACAGTTATATTCATAAATTCACAGTTCGACCAAATTATTTTTATTAGTCAAATATAAAACCAGAATTTTTATATAAAGAACTGAATTATACTTACTGAACGTAAGCTTCTAGTTTTTTTTGACTAGGAATTATATTTACATTTAATGAATGACTGCATTAATGGTATCCTTAATATTATAGATATAATATTTAGTTATAATACTCGCGTTTACACTAATTAAAATTACTTAAGTGATTTTCTATAAGACTTGATAAAACTGCCTGTCCATGACTATTGTTACATTTTGAGGTTAAGTATATACAAATTTTTATATTATATATATTTTATTTTAAGTTTTTCTTATTTTAAGTGGCCACTCTTGAATGAATATCCAGGGTAATCCATTGCTGTGATAATATGTAAATACAGGTGCTGGAATTGAGTAGTATAAAAAAAATATGTGATATGTACCCAATTCCAAAATATACATTTACTACAATCTACAACTTATGATTTTTCTTCTGTGATAATTCTAAAAACTGAGCTTTTTTTTTATTTAGTATTAGAAATATGGAATAAGTTTAAGTCAATGATAAGGTTCTAGTGTTAGTCACAAAGTCTGTTAAACGGTGCAATTTATTTCAAACAGTTATATTGTATTTAAATGATAATTTAGATTTATGTAATTACCAATTTTAATTGCCTAATCTAATAGTATGGTTTATTTAATGCTAGGTTCATATGTATTTTTAATTGATTATCACAATTCACAGTCCTAATTTGATTATTTGTATTTAGTTGTTGTTCTATAACTATTTCAGTTATTCATTATTATTCTATTACAAATTACAATATATAATATATTCTAGTTAGTTGTTATTATTGAATCCTAAACTTAATTTTGTCTACATCACTTTTAAAACCAATTCTGAATGAATTTTCATAGTTGGTTTTTGTTTAAAATAATTAATGAGTAATGACTATATGCTATAAGTAAAGAAATGTCCATAATAGTAAATATTCATATAATAAAATAAATTAAAGTGGTAGTACTAAGGAATTACCTGCATATAAGTCAGAAATAATATTTTTCTGCCTCAAAAAACTTGCCTTGTTAACAACTTCTTATACATTAATATTGGACTCTCCTCATACATATTTTTTTTTATTATTTATACATATATATATTTTACATTGGCCAATCTATGTGTTATTCATTTTTATACAATATGTTATTGTATTATTATTAAAATTATTAAATTTATAGTTTACAATGTTGATAATAATAATATGAACTTTATTTTATATTTGTAAATTGTTATATTCCTGTGCGTGTAAAAGTTATTTATCAAATATTTATGTTTAGTTATAACATAAGTATGTATTTAAGTGTATAATGTATTTTATTTTTTAAAAAAAATTATGAAAGTACATAAGAGAACAAAAATGACTGAATAGGAATAATGTTAACTTTTTAACTAATCATGAACTGTTATCTATCGTAAAACAAATTATCAAAATGTTATATGTTTAATGGCCTTCTTTGAACTACTGAAAAATATAATATTCTAACAAATAAATTACCTTTAATGGAGAATAAAACTTATTATTTTTAATAGTCTCTTTACAATGTGTTTAAAAACATTTAATGAGTTGAAAATTGTACATTAAAAAGATTTAAACTGTGATTACTTCAATACCTAATTTGTTAAAGTTTGTTATTATTACAATAAGAAAGATACATTTTTAAACTACATAATAAGTAGGTATGATGTTAAAATGTTTTCTGATATTTTATTGTTATTGTATTTTCTTAAAATAAAATTATAACTTTTCAGTTAATTGAATATGGTGTGCTCTTTGTTTAACTAGGGTTTATGACTTATGGATTTCAAGAGTTGATTCTGGATTACAATGTAGTAAAATAATCATTTAAAATTTAATTTGGAAGTTGAAACAAGCAATTAAATATTAACAAATAATTTATTGGCCTACATGATTCATTTTTAATCTTCTTTTTTAATACTATTCTCAGACCTCAGTTCTTACCAACTCCTAAGTCTTAAACTCTTAACGACCTAACTACAATGCTACATACAAATTAATAATTACTACAACCACGATTAAAAATGTACAAGGCTACCAGGCACCCGCTACCTATTTCTAATCAAGTACTTTACTGTACGAGATACGATTTGCCTATTAATCGATGGTTCTAAATTCTAAATATTCTAATGCATAGATTATTTAGTGTATACACCTATAATATGATCTGGTGGGGTGGCTAATACCTTACAATGGGGTACCATTGACTATAAATACTTTTTTCTAGCATTATTAATATTAATTTAACACTAATATTTTATAATCAATGATTCAGGATTCTACTATAATTCTACAATATATTATTTTGTACAAGTTGTTTTTCATCTATAGTTGTCTGTGTGCCAACATAACAATAATTTATCTTAGAGTCAATGAACTCAAAATCAGGAATTTAGTTATATAATAATATTTTATTACCTTCAATCGTGTTCAAAAGTCAAAATGGAGTTAAATTATTATCACAATTATTATCAGAATAATGTGGTTCCATGGTAATTGGTAGCATTATATTCTGTGGTAGACAGTGTTTAGTAGTGGTCCAAATTCAAAATATTATATCAGTTCTGTTATCAATTACTGGAAACTGATTCGGGAATTCCGGATATTCATTCAGAATTCGCTGTTCATCAATATTTCATTCTTCATCATTTCATTTGTTTTGAAGTTTTTTGACATTTATCTATTCTAATTTCTAGAATTCTAGATCCAGTTGACAGAGTAGTTTTTGTAAAACTAATGACAATCTACTTCAATCTTACTTTATGTTAATTTCGATCAAATGACTATGTTAGAATCAGTGAAACTTCGATTTATTTACCAAACTATAAGTTTTCAGAAAAGTATAAGATTCTAATTAAAAAAAAATACCCCGACCTGTATTGAATATCATTAAAAGAACCAATTACCAAAGGTATACTTATCTATGATATGAACTACCACACAAATACACAATCCCGGTCTACATAAGTAAGTAATTTTCCCTAAGAAACTTAGTTTAAGAACGCCATGCTACCAGTTCTGATATTGTTGTCCTATCTTTATTCAACTTTGCACCACTAACTTCCTAAAAACCGTATACGACCACCTAATATGATGAAACGCATTACTAACAAGGGTTCACTTCATCCATCTTATTAAATGAATGAATCCAGAATCCATCTGTTTTAAATTGTTTACCTGTACCTACTTGGATTCAGGATTGAACACTGGTCACAAAATAACAATGAAATTAAAATTGTATAGATTAGTTAACAATCATAAATAATTAAAATAAAATAGTTCTGAAACTGAATGCATTTTCTAATAATTAATAGATTTACAATTTACTAAAATTAAAAAAACAATTTTGGTGAATACTAGTTTAAAGTACCCAAGTATTCAATTATTTATCTTTGTAATAGGTACTTTATTTTATTACAGTTATAAGTGATAGTTTCTTTGTTGTTTTATAATTATTTCCTTTATAGGTATTTTTTATGAATTATAGACTGATGACAATCACAGTAAATTGGTCTCAAATGCACATTGTTACAAAAAACAAAATTGATTAATATTGTCTTCTTTATTGTTTAGCTTGTTGAATTTAATTGTATTTTTTTTATAGTTGTACACTATTTGATCTAAAGCTGTATAAAAATAATATAGGACATGGGTACAATGGATCTTACTATCTTTGTATTCAATTTCTATTGAAAATCTACAGTATCAGTTGAATTAAACTAACATAAATAATAATTATATATACAATATTTCTATTTAGAATTTTTTTTTTTTTGTTGCAGATTCTACTATGGATAACATTAAACATATTATCGAATCATCTCGAGTTCCGATAATTTTTCATGATATGTTAGATGATTGGGAACTGTTTAAATGGGATTTAGACAAATGGGACGATATATTTAAACACCAGTCATTAGACTGTAGAAAAGGAAGAATTACGTGCACTAAAGTAAATAAAACTTATATAATAATTTTAACATTAATTAATTTTTTTAATTAATTTATTGGCAGGAACCTTTATGGGAAAGTAAGTGTTTGCATGAAAGTCATTCATTTAGCGAAGTTATAAACATGTCAAAAGATATTGAGAAAAGTGGAAATTGGTTATATTTTGATTATAAGCACATTGGAGAAACAGTTGATGAAAACATATTCAAAGTTAGTTCCTTTTATTACTTAAAAAAACTTTGTTAAATATGTTTATTTTATTTTAGTCTATATCATGGAAAAAGTTTGGTTATGAATATTTAGGTCCAAAAGATTCAACTTTGTGGATTGGAAGTATTGGTGCGCATACACCATGTCATCAAGACTTATATGGTATTAATTTAGTGGCTCAAGTTCATGGAAAGTTAGTTGGTTAATAAGATTTGATTTACAACGGACATAAGATATGAGTTTTCTTTAATAATTTCAATATAAAAAAATTACGAGTATAAGAAATTTTAAGTTATTATTTATTATTATTAATAATATTATAATAGTTACTAATATTTTTTTTAAACTTTTTCTGGTTTTTGATTACAAAATATTGGATAGTTTAAATTTTATACTTGAGTTGATGTCAAACAAACTGACAGTTGGTGGCCCTGCCGCTAAGTAATATAGACACAATTCATTAGGAAGTAATCACAAAAAATGTGCTTATTTTTTTATAATTATTTTAAGACCAGCATGAATCGGCGAAGGCACTATTTACATATTATGATTCTTCACACAGTCTTTCTTTCACTTCCATGTAATTTGTTATTCGTTCTCACAAAAAATTCTTTCCTGGTATATAACACCATGTGGTTGACAGAGCCAGTTTATTTGACATCAATTATAAAATTTCACCTAAATGTTAAATAATAAATATGGTTATAGAATTTAAACTTTAATTTTATTTTTTGGTAGAAAACGTTGGATTCTAATGCCACCTGAAATGGGAAAATATTTGAAGCCATCTAGAGTTCCTTACGAAGAGTCTAGCTGTTATAGCAAAATTAACTTTTCATGTCCAGATAATGTTAAAGGTACATTTATTATTTGGCATACTGTAAAACGATATGTTCTTGATAATATTTTACGTTGCAGATATTGATGATGCTTGTAGATGTGTGGCAGTGGTTTTATCTCCAGGCGATGTACTATTAGTCCCACATAAATGGTGGCATTATGTTGAAAACTTAACTACTGCTGTTAGTATTAATACTTGGATACAGACTCCTAAATATGACAACATGGCTCGGTTAAATGAGTCTGTGGTTCGTTTTATGGCGAGCAGTATATGTTCTGGTGTGTCTAAGAATATTCAATCTAGATTACTAAATCCGAATGAAGTAATTCATAAGTATTATAATGACCGTGAATAATAATTATAAAATATAATGTGTACAATTTAAAATTAAAAACTATTAACTTTTTAGATATTTTCACCATCCATGATTGCAGAGTCAATTAATTTTATCGAACAAAGCATTAAAATGGTAATATAAAAAGTTCAAAGTTGTTTGCATTTATTTATTTATTTGTGTTATTTAGATAAAAAATGAAGAAAATACAGCAGATTCAAAAGAACCAGATTCAACTTCACTTAATATCACAAAATATCAGTATAAAAGTTATGAACCAGAACAATGTTTGTCTAAAGTAGAACTTGACACAAAATATCACAGATATAACCATACTTCAAGTTCTTTTGAATCAGATTTAAATACTGATATAAGTCATAGATTATTAGATTCATTATGTAATGAAAATGTTATAAATCAAATTGTTAGTAATTTAATTAAAATAGACTAAAAACTTCTATATAGTACAATAATTTTAAAAATGATAAAAAAAATTAAATAATATTTTTAAACAACGTATTTTGTTATTATTATTACTACCCTTCATAATATTTAGAAATGATCTAATTAATCTTATATTCAATGATTATATAATTTATACTATTCTTGAGTCAATAAAATATTAAATTATTTATTTAAAATTTAACTTAGTAGCTATTTATAAAATGTACTGGTTTAAGAAAGTTTAATATACACAATATTTTTTCCATGGTATCGAGAACCGGAGGGGGGACTGCGTTAGCATTACGTCCCCTAATATACACAATTTAGAAAATATTATATTATTACAATATATAATAATTGTTAAAATATACTAAATAACTATTAATTTTATAAATTACTGATATTTGACAGCCGTGGTGTTGGGTAGTTGCATAGAAACAGAGACAACATAATAATATGTGGGTATAATGTCCTCCTTAAAGAGTATATTTTTGACTTGTTCAAATTATATTTCAATAACTTTTTAAAAAATGTTTTAATGACAACACTAAAATCTTGACAATATTATAGAACATATTTGTCTACTACTTTTTTGGTTGGGTGACTACTTGATATCAACAATTAAAATTTTTTACATCTTAAAACCATGGTAAAAGTATCATTTCGCCCATTATTTTCTGTATTATGTATTTATGTGGACTCGCCAGTTGGGGACACTACAGTAAAATAAGTACCCCACACTAATATGCAATACCCCATGTTACATTAAATATGAAAAAACTCACATTTACAAAAAATCAAAAATGTTATTTTTGGTATTGTACATAACAAATGTTTTTTTAACCATAACTTCTACAGAAAATTTGACTGAATTTTTTTTTAAAGTACCATCATAAAGCAAGCAAAAACACAAATTTTGAAGAAAAAAATTCACAAAAATCACTTTGGAGCTAAACTGCATTCCTTCCAATATTTCATATTTCAATTTATTAGTTATCTCTTAAATCTCTAGGAAAACTAATATTAAATAAACATATTATAGTTTTTATAAAAAAAAGTATGAGTAAACTAAAAATAAATACAATGATTACCTACTTTATAAGTGTTTAATTTTTAGATTCTAAGTGAAAAGATGAATGTATTGATTTTACAATGATGTGTGTTTTTTTATTTTTTTTTGTATTTTGTATTTTTAGATTCTGAGTGAAACGATGAATGTATTGATTTTACAATGATGTGTGTTTTTTTATTTTTTTTTTTATTTTTTTTTTTATTTTTTTATTTTTTTTTGTGTCTGTCATCACGTTTTAGGACAGTAAAAGTGCTTGGATTTTCTTCATCAGTAGCTTTTCTGATAGGAAAGTGAATCTAGTTGGTACTTTGGGGGGTCAAAAGTATAAATTTCTCAGTAGTTTTCACAAGCGCCGGGAAAAACAACATAAAAATTAAGGAAAAACGGGAATTTTTACGCAAAATTGGTTTTCCAAAAAATCGATTTTGGTTTTTGGTGTAACTCTGAAACAAATGAACGTATATACATGAAATTTTCACTGGTTGTTTATATTTGCATTTTCTATACACGAAAACATTTCCAAAATATTTTGATTTATTTTGAACTGTTTAGGGACATTTTCATTTTCCATTTTTTTTTAGTTTTTTTTCTAAAAATATCAATAAAATTTTATTTGTTGGTTGCGAAAGCTTGAAAATTTAATAGAAGGCTCCTAATATATTGTTTCAAAGGCAGATGAAAAATATTAAAAATCCTTAGTCACAATTTTTTTTTATAAGCATTTAAAATTCAAAAATTGACAAAATATGGGAAAATCACGAAAATTAGCAAATTATTTAGAGTTAAGAATTCGTAAAAATTTTTCTTTTTAAATCTAAGATTTGAAAATTAAACACAAGATTCCTTATAAGTTTGTCTACCTTTATCAAAAGAAAAATGTCTATAAGAAAGTCAAATTAAATTTTTATGAGCGTTTGAAATTCAAATTTTTACAACATTGAATATTCACTCGATTTCCCATGTAGCGATTTCCTAATTTTGTTGTAATTCAAAAACGAATAACTGTAGATACATGAAAATTTCACTGAATGTTTATATTAGCATTTCCTATACACCATACAATTTTGAAAATATTTTGACTCTTTTTGAGCTGTTTATGGACATTTACAGCTTTCAATTTTTTTTAGTTTTTTTTTCTATAAATATCAATAAAGTTTTATCTGTTGGGCCAAAAAGTGTAAAAATTTAATTCAAGACTCCTGATATATTGTTACAATATCATTTGAAAAATATTAAAAATACATAGGCACGATTTTTTTTTATAAGCATTTAAAGTTGGAATTTTGACAAAATTTATCAAAATCTCGAAAATTATCAATCGTTGGAATTAAAAAATTATAAAATGTTCAGTTTTTATAACTAAGAGTTGAAAATTTAAAACAAAGATTCTCTTAAATAATTCATACTGTAACCAAAAAATCTAAAAAATATATAAACACACTTATTTTTTACAGACATTTTAATTTCAAATTTAGACAAAATTTCATATTTAAACCAAGAATTACGATTTTAGTTATTTTGTTGTGATTGAATAATATTATTCGGGGGAACTTGAAACTTCTAAAGTTTACTATTATATATGTATGATAGTATCACGGTTTTTGTTGATGTATAACGCGTTATAAGTACCTAATGGATATTTTGATATGATTAATTTGGAATTTATTATAGGTACCCATTATAGGTCAATTTTTTGTTTAATACCATAGATATGTATATAATACCTATGTCTTATACATAGACTGACATACCGTCTCCACTCAGAATCGTTTTTCTTATACAATGATATTATATCGTTGAATTCAAATTTAATATCATCCATTATACAGTAACCCCCTTGTAACCTACTGTACAGCAGAGCGACACCCACTTGCCCACCTTTTTATTTTTGTGTCTGTCACATCACGGTTTGGGGCAGTAAAACTGCTTCGATTTTCTTCAACAGTATCTTGTTCGATGGGAAAGTGAATCTAGTTGGTGCATTCGAGAGGTCAAATTTTAAAATTCCCAATAGTTTTCATTAGCGCCGGGAAAAACAACATAACAATTTAGGAAAAACGGGAATTCTTAGGCAAAATCGATTTTGGTTTTTGGTGTAACTTTAAAACAAATAAATGTATATACATGACATTTTCAATGGTTGTTTATATTATTTGCAATTTCTATACACTATAACATTTTCAAAATATTTTGATTTATTTTGAACTGTTTAGGGATATTTATATTTTCCATTTTTTTCTCTAAAAATATCAATACAATTTTATGTTTTGGTTACAAAACCTTGAAAATTTAATAGAAGGCTCCTAGTATATTGTTTCAAAGGCAGATGAAAAATATTAAAAATCCTTGGTCACAGTTTTTTTTATAAGCATTTAACGTTCAAAAATTGACAAAATATGGAAAAATCACGAAAATTAGCAAATTATTTTGAGTTAATAATTCGTAAAAATTTTTCTTTTTAAATCTAAGATTTTAAAATGTAATACAATATTCCTTATAAGATTATCTATCTTTATCTAACCTTTATACTCTTCTGGGTAGCTACGAAGGGTGATAAATGTCACTTGAAAGTAGAAACTGACCATTATCTGGTCTATTTAAATTTAAAGGATGGACCCAACGTTATCTTTTAATTTTGTCTCGTTCCTGTTTTTTGTAGTTTGTGTTCCTCGTATAATGCAAAAATAACGCATGCGGCTTCAATAGCATCTATAATACTTTCATAATAAAAGAAAAAAATAGATGAAACGAAATACAATCCAAATAGACACGAAATAAGTACAATACGAATTGAACAGCAGACGTCATCCACAATGGTAGGTAACAGCAGTACTAACCTAGTACCTACACAACAAAGTACAACGAATTAAATGGTTCAATATGGCCCAATATGGCGGGCTTTTTATTTTTGAAAAACGCACAAATATCGTTCAGTGTGAAAGAGCAGGTCGATTTTAAAACGCCGACGAATGCGTGGAAAATGCGTGTAAGGAGTTCGCGTCTTAAAATCGCGACGTTTTTAAAACGCGGACGCACGAGTTTGAATCGCCTAGTGATGTGTCATGTGTAATTCACTTTAGTATACATTGAAAAGGGTAATAAAACTAACAGAATTACAGAAACAAATTAGATGAGAAGTGGACCAGTTCGGATTATAAAAAAATTATTAAATTCTATGTAAGAAGTGGTGGTGGCTAAAAAGCGTAAGGACACCAATTTCTAAATCATACCAGTAAATTAATTCCAGTACAAGCCCAAGTCCTAAAATTGGATGGCACCTACATCAAAGGTCGAGTTAGAAGGATAGGAGGTGTAACAGTGGTAACACTGTGGGATGCGTCAGCAATCATGTGTAGTATTTTTAATATTATATAGGTAAACTTAAAGAAAATTCTTACTATAGGTAATATTTTGTAATAATAATTCAATTTAAAAAAAAACTCTTATTGTAATAACAATCTAATAGGTTATAAAAATCGATTTTCCTTTTATAGCATATAGGTGTGTATTTCTATTTATTGTACCTATGTATCATTTTATTATTAATAAAACAATTTCATTTGATATCGATTGTCTTATTATTTAAAGAAGAACAAAACAAATTACATTTATTTATGAATAATTATTAAAATATTATATTATATTTGTTATGTTATTATAATTCCCACTCAATTTGATTTGTCTAAACCTTAAACCGTACCATACTATTTTATTAGGTTTGTCTTTACATGTATCTAGTTGATACCTACTAACAACTAAAAACTCGTTTTTAAGTTACTTATTAATATTTATAAATAATTTGGCATGATAAGTTAAAAGTAATAAGGTAATAACCAGTAAGTAATAACCTTAAAATTAAATGCAATATTTACTCATAATAAAATTCAAATATTTTATAAACATTGTTGTTTTTTTTATTGATAATTTCAACAAAACATATTTATTTGATTAATAAATTCATCTATATTTTGAATATAAATCTAGGTAAGGTTTAAAATTGTAATGCGAATCGTATTCCCTTTAAACTTTTATATTTGGTTTAATATTTTTCACAAAATAATGTAGGTGTATAGTAGGTATTAGTATTATCTGACTTATTTACTTAAATAATTTACTATAAGGATATTATAATAATTATTATAATTATAATAAAAGAAATTTCACAGATCTGATGAATATCTTAACATTTGTCACTGGTGGCAAGTGATCGACGTTTTCTTCTTAAACCAATGGGATAAGGTTTCACGTCCATTCTTTCCTGAAAGTTTAAAGAAAACTAATGTAAATGTTATTGCCAATGATGAAAACAAACCAATTGATAACTTACAGTAGGTTACATTTTTATTACAAACATATAGGTACTTAATATTTAATGCCAACATTGCCAAATGCCAACCTATTACCTTCTGTGGACTGAATTATTATTTCATTTTATATTCCACTTGATATCGTCATCGGTATTATTATACATAGTGAAGACAAACTTCAGAAATTATTGATATCTAACATTTGTGTAAACAAGCGGTTTTACAAGACTTTAAAATAAAAAAAACATAGTTTGACACCTGTCCGTTAATATACGTACCTAATACATTACATCAGTAGGGTATCTAAGATTTTTCAAGGGGGGGGGGTATGCAATTTGTAATAGACATTCAGTATATATAGATATTTATTGAGGTTGTAAACGTGCATATAATTGCAATATTTTAAATGCCACTGATTCCCATAGAAAAATATCCATGGAGTGACTGCAGCTCTCATGGGTAGGTATAATGCGTTTTAAAATAAAACAATAATCAACGATATTGCAAAGTTGTTGAGGAACAGCGGGCTTATAGATTGTTATATAGGTTGCCGATGCTGTTTCTTATATTTATATGAACGAGTAATAATTATTCGTGTTCATTCGTGCGATTAAATCTCTAAATCTCGAAACGATGGTGTTTTAATACGTCTTTGCTTGTCCGTCGTCTATTTACATTTAGTCGACGCCTCAAAGAAGGTCGCAAGTGTAAGTATATACACTACGTATATATACAATATCCGTGCCCGGTAAGTTCGTTTTGTAAACATTTTATTCCATGGGGATTTACGGGTCGATTTCGATAAAAAAAAAATCTGATGCCACTGTTTGACAACTTTTTACAAGACGTGAGGAGAATAGAATTCAATTCATATAGTTTAAAAGGTCATATATATATATATATAGGAACATATCATTATATAATGTATTATATTATAATATTATATATTTACAATACAATTAATAGGTATATAGGTACAAGTTGAATTTTTTTAAAGGCAAACACTACAATTTTCTTGAAAAGCATTAACGTTTTTAACAATATCTTCCTAAAATCATTTTAAGAAGTCATTACAGTACAACATTTAGCTATAGATTTTTGAAATTATTTATAAGTATTTAAAGTTTAGATATGTGGAGTAGTACAGAACCACATATTGCAATGTACCTCTGTGATGTCACTCCACTCCGGTTATCTGAGAAGTTTAAATACCTACTTAAGACTTATTAACTTATTTGAAATTCGATTTAAAACATTAAAATTGCTGAAAAATATTTTGACTCGGAGTATGGAAATAAAAACGCGATGCAGTCATTCAAAATAGTAAAAACTAAAAGTATATATAAATGATTAAACATTTTGAATTTTTTTTTGTAAAAGTATATAGTATATAATAGTACTTAGGTAGTTAGGTATCTATATAATAGTTTTGAAATTATATAAAAAAATATTTCTAAAAATGTTAATACTTTTTAAGAATAAGTGTTAATACCTTTCAAATAATTGCCTTTTAAGTTTACGATTTTCCCGGGGGTTAATACATTGTTTTTTACATCAGGAAAAAATGATAAAAATAAAATTGCTATTTACACAAATAAGGTATAAAATCTAGTATATTTATTTTAAAGAAATGTACCTACATTGTTGACTTATTTGTTGTTTACATTACTCATGAAGTTATAACTTAAAATTTAAACTGGATACGATTTCTTTTTTAAGTTTAATTGCAAACTATATATGAAAACAAAATAAAATAAATATTTGTAACCTCTCACGATCGACGGTGGGTAATACTTATGGATATTTAGAGTTATTAACTTCACTATCTGTTGTCTACTAAAGTGTTATATTATAATATCATATTAGACAATATACTTATACAACATTATAATATATTGGTACATAATTATATTAAATCACTTACAAAAATGCATTGATTATTGTCTCGGAAATGTTCAATTATTGTGTTTATACAACATAAATACACAGAACTTTTATTAATGGTTGACAATTATTATGAATTCAATATTAAATAGATGAATAAAAATAATAATTTAACATTTTTACAATAGTTATTTTAGATCTCTATGACTATTAAATGTCTAGCACGATAACTCTACTTTGAACACTCTAGTCTCTAAAATGTGAGTTCGTGATCAATATAAGAATTAACTAGCCACTAGGTACCTATATATTATATAACTATTAACATGTATCAGCTTTCGTAAGTAAAAACATTACAAAAAATAACGAAAATATTCAATATACCTAATGATTTTAATAGGTATTAATTTAAGTACTGATACATATTTTTAATTTTTAATATTATAAAAACTATTTATATATTTTTAATTTTTTTTGTTACCTACTGTATGATTCCATTACACTGCATCCATTATGACAATCTTAAGTTAATCCTCACAAACTCGTAAATTTACTTAAATATTCAACAATTGCCATTGTTAAAAAATAGTGTAAATGAATAAAAACAAAAAAACTCACACTATTATTATAGGTAGTAGGTAGTAAGTGGATACCTTACCTCACTATAATAGCGACATCGTGTGTAATTAGTGAGAATCTGAGTATGGCTACTGAGTAATAACTACCTATCGAGATATCGTACAACCCTTTATCGCTAATAAAATAGAGCCTAGAAAATCATGTAAAAGTAGGTATGATATAGATTATAGATGGACTATATACCTTGAAGTTCGTGCTATATTATTTGAAATAAGTATAGTGAAGTAGAAGTAGAGATTGACCATATTGCTAGGTATAAAAAATAATTAATTTATGAGTTAAACTTACTGCTTTATTTTGTCTTTGTTGGCGTATTAATTCAAGTCGGGCTTCTTGAATTGCCTCCCAGAGCTTAGCCTCAGACATTATCTGCCTGCTAATCTCTTCAACAGCCGGTTCTGAGCGAAGATCGACCAAAGTGGCCATTGATTCATCCGATCTCTTGCGACCACAACCTACAGAGTTAATTAATTTAATAACCCATTTATAAAACTCATTATATACAAATATATATAAATATCATTAAAACCATTAATAATAGTAGACCAATTATAATTAACTAATGTAGTTCTGTTGTAAGCTTTTGGTGCACATTTGATATGTTATTATTTTCATAATATTTAACAATTTTTAGTTACTTTTATAATTACTATTACTATTACCATGTGCGTTAATATGGAAATATATTATTATACATTATACACACAATGTCACAATGGAAAAAGTACAGAAAATACCGTTCTTTATAGAACTGTAGGCATGGGTGCAAATTGAGAATTTAAGTAACCACAGCTAGACTCCAGCCGTTTTTACAATTAAACGGTGAGAAGGGGTAATAAAAAAAAGGTGGGCAAGTGGGTGTCGCTCTGCTGTACAGTAGGTTACAAGTGGGTCACTGTATAATGGATGGTATTAAATTTGAATTCAATGATATAATATCATTGTATAAGAAAAACGATTCTGAGCGGTGATGGTATGTCAGTCTATGTATAAGGCATATTATATACATATCTATGGTATTAAACAAAAAATTGACCTATAATAGGTACCTATAATAAATTCCAAATTAATCATATCACAATATCCATTAGATACTTATAACGCGTTATACATCAACAAAAACCGTGATACTATCATAGATATATAATAGTACACTTTAGAAGTTTCAAGTACCCACGAATAGTATTATTCAATCACAACAAAATAACTAAAATCGTAATTCTTGGTTTAAATATGAAATTTTGTCTAAATTTGAAATTAAAATGTCTGTAAAAATAAGTGTGTTTATATATTTTTTAGATTTTTTGGTTACAGTATGAATTATTTAAGAGAATCTTTGTTTTAAATTTTCAACTCTTAGTTATAAAAACTGAACATTTTATAATTTTTTAATTCCAACGATTGATAATTTTCGAGATTTTGATAAATTTTGTCAAAATTCCAACTTTAAATGCTTATAAAAAAAATCGTGCCTATGTATTTTTAATATTTTTCAACTGATATTGTAACAATATATCAGGAGCCTTGTATTAAATTTTTACACTTTTTGGCCCAACAGATAAAACTTTATTGATATTTATAGAAAAAAAAACTAAAAAAAATTGAAAGCTGTAAATGTCCATAAACAGCTCAAAAAGAGTCAAAATATTTTCAAAATTGTATGGTGTATATGAAATGCTAATATAAACATTCAGTGAAATTTTCATGTATCTACAGTTATTCGTTTTTGAATTACAACAAAATAAGGAAATCGCTACATGAGAAATCGAGTGAAAATCCAATGTTGTAAAAATTTGAATTTCAAACGCTCATAAAAATTTAATTTGACTGTCCGGTAGAGATTTTTTTATTGATAAAGGTAGATAATCTTATAAGGAATCTTGTGTTTCATTTTCAAATCTTAGATTTAAAAAGAAAAATTTTTACGAATTCTTAACTCAAAATAATTTGCTAATTTTCGTGATTTTTCCATATTTTGTCAATTTTTGAACGTTAAATGCTTATAAAAAAAACTGTGACCAAGGATTTTTAATATTTTTCATCTGCCTTTGAAACAATATACTAGGAGCCTTCTATTAAATTTTCAAGGTTTTGTAACCAAAACATAAAATTGTATTGATATTTTTAGAGAAAAAAATGGAAAATATAAATATCCCTAAACAGTTCAAAATAAATCAAAATATTTTGAAAATGTTATAGTGTATAGAAATTGCAAATAATATAAACAACCATTGAAAATGTCATGTATATACATTTATTTGTTTTAAAGTTACACCAAAAACCAAAATCGATTTTGCCTAAGAATTCCCGTTTTTCCTAAATTGTTATGTTGTTTTTCCCGGCGCTAATGAAAACTATTGGGAATTTTAAAATTTGACCTCTCGAATGCACCAACTAGATTCACTTTCCCATCGAACAAGATACTGTTGAAGAAAATCGAAGCAGTTTTACTGCCCCAAACCGTGAAGTGACAGACACAAAAATAAAAAATACAAAATACAAAAAAAAATAAAAAACACACATCATTGTAAAATCAATACATTCATCTTTTCACTTAGAATCTAAAAATTAAACACAAAAAATTGTGACTAAGGATTTTTAATATTTTTCATCTGCCTTTGAAACAACATATTAGGAGCCTTCTATTAAATTTTCAAGCTTTCGCAACCAACAAATAAAATTTTATTGATATTTCTAGAAAAAAAACTAAAAAAAAATGAAAAATGAAAATGTCCCTAAACAGTTCCAAATAAATCAAAATATTTTGAAAATGTTATCGTGTATAGAAAATGCAAATATAAACAACCAGTGAAAATTTCATGTATCTACGGTCATTTGTTTTAAAGTTACACCAAAAACCAAATTCGATTTTTTGGAAAATCGATTTTGCGTAAAAATTCCCGTTTTTCCTTAATTTTTATGTTGTTTTTTCCCGGCGCTTGTGAAAACTACTGGAAAATGTTTACTTTTGACCCCCCCAAAGTACCAACTAGATTCACTTTCCTATCAGAAAAGGTACTATTGAAGAAAATCGAAGCACTTTTACTGTCCCAAAACGTGATGACAGACACAAAAATATAAATAAAAATATAAAAATATAAAAAAAAACATACATCATTGTAAAACCAATACATTCATCGCTCCGCTCAGAATCTAAAATATATTGGGAAAATGTAGAGCAGGTTAATATTAAACGACATCGCACTGTTTTATGCGCAGGTCAACTGATACGTGGTAGGATGACTATTGACCAAATATAATTAAAATAGGAAAATGCATCAATTTCAAATCAATCAATTTTATCATTATATTAAACTATACTGTTCTTAATTTACAAAGCGTGATAATACCTACCTAAATTTAACTACTTTACTGATATCATTACTAATATTTTGTTACACGATGCGTGTAAATAGATAGCAATAGGGGTCTATTGTTTTCTATTAAAATCGTTTTTAGGTGATGATGAATGTGCAAACAATAGATAAAAGAAAATAAAGGATTGCATTAGCCGGTAGGTAACTGGTATGCTGTTCAGTAAGGTGTCGAGTGCACCTCGTAATAATTGAGAAGTAAGTCACTGTAGTCTGTATTCTGTAATGTACCTATGTGTTAAATTTGAATCCAATTATAAATCATTGCATAAAAAATACTAAAAATGATTTTGAGCGGAGACGGTCTGTCAGCCAATGCTATTGAGTATATTTTATGATAACATATTTATCATGTATAGAAAATTATTTGTTCTTTTTTAGTTACGCCGAAAAAACAAAATTGATTTGATCGAATACTTATTTCAAGTACAAATTTCCTTGTCCATTATTTTTTTTTTTGTTTATTTCGGTTATTTTAAAAAGAAATGATTTTTTACTTTGGACGTTCCAGTTTTCTACTAGAAACTACCCTCAAAGTTGGAAATTGAAGGATTTTTATTTTTTACTACTATGAAATCGTCTCCAGGCACAATAAAACATAATATACAAACATAATTTTGAAATAAATACATTCATCGCCCCGCTCAGAATCTAAAAATTGGTTGTTGATGGTTGATTTGTATTTCTCCATTTATGACCAACAAAATGGTTTGTAATACTATACTTAAAATCAAAGTGTATGTATATATCAGACTTGCCATTTGAAAGGACACACAATTGCATCCCATGGATGATTTGTATTTATATTTTACAGATTTTTATTGAAAATTATAGACACCGGTTTTAGACATTTTTAATGATTAAAATGATCATTTTTAAAATTTAAATTCTTCTTAACTATAGCTATTTATTTATTGTACTATTTGAACTTTTAAACAGCTTAAATATTAACTATCTGTTCTGAAATACGCTTTGCCTAATAATTTTTGATGGGAAAATATATCAATAGCCATTAAACAATAATATTCTAGCATTATATATGTATAGTATTTTATACACATTTTAATTTAATACAAATGATCAATTATTAAAATGTCATACCTATCTCATATTTATTATACCTAGTATTTTTGTTATTGTTATGTATATTTTAGTGGGTTTAATTAAGACCATAATAATTATTATAGCGTGATTAAAAAATATAATCAGATATGTTGTTTTTTGCAAACAATTTGTTTAATGTTATTAAAAATTGAAATTAACATCAATAATATTATAGTATAATTAACGTTTTCCTTACCTGTAAATGCGTTGCAAAATGGTTTTTTCCTCCTGATTGGTTCAGCTACCGGATTATCGTTGTCGAAATACTGTTAAAACAAATACAAATTTAATGAACAGTGATAAATATAATTTGACTAATCTACTCTTTAATTGTACCTATACATAATATTTTTTTGACTATTTTAATTTAGTACATAATTATATTATAGGTATTATATTTAATTTCAGATATTATCTAAGCTAGTAAAACCATTGTATTAAATATATGACCACCAAGTAATTTTTAAAATTATGATTTACAATAGGCACCTATGATTTATGTATTGCATACTTGAACATTATGATTATATTAATTATTTAACTTATTTTCCCGATTAAAACGATGTTCGTAGACATGATAATTATTACCTAAAATTATTATCAAGTAAAGTAGATTCCTTTTATTGGTACAAATTAGTTGTTTCGGCGCAATGTGAATGCGTGAAGGTGAAGTCCAAAATACAATAGTTATGAAATAAAATATGTGCATAATTTATTATAGTCTCGAATGGCTTGCCAATTATATTACATGGCTGAAACCATCAAAATGATAACTGCATACATTATCCAGGTTATGTATAGGTACAATAATTGTCAATTTATCGATCGCATTCAAAATAAATGGTGTATATAGTACATAGCTTTGTACATTCGTAAACGCTTCAGACTGACAAATTGCTTAGGACATCATAGTATATTGTGTTTATTATACTTTTCAAGAGTGTCCGAAAATAATGTTATACCTAATATTTAATACTTGAAAACGCTTCGATAAAAATAATATAATCGAGTGCAACAGAGGTTTTCTCGACACGTATAATTTATCTATGACGTTATATTATATTATAAATATATTTTATTTGCCCTTATAGCGGAGGCATTGGTGTTTACCCAGATAGACTGTTTATATAGCTAACACGCAGACAACCGGAAAACCCACGACCATGTCCTGTACATTATTTAACAGTCGTGTACAATACGTTGTTATTGGACGTTAAACGATTAGATCAGATAAAAAACAAAACATAAATTAAAAGTATCTATGCTTATCATCGTAACCAAAGACGAACTTGTCAGATAGTATACAACATAACACGAGATGCGTTATGGTTTATTGATTTATTGTATCAAACTATTGGTACTTAAGTTATTTATATTATGTTTATAAGTAATAATTACAAAAAAGTACCTCTACAAACAATTTTTTTTAATTTTGCAATTTATATTGGTCGAACGACAATTGTATTAAGACCATCCAGTACAACTCATCTGCGACCAACCCTTATTCATTGTATACGCGCATGGACTTTTTTTAGTGAAATATAATAACATAATGCTAACAAATGTTGAAAATTAATTTTGAGAAAAGTAATAGGTACTGATCGATTAATAATTATTTATTTTATTTTTATTTTTGAAGCTTTTAGTATAAACTATGATAATTACAATTACATAATAAAAACAAAACAATATAAAATTAAGATGAACAACATATTAAATTCTTATGTATTATAATATAATGAAGCCAGCCTCCAGTATAACATGATAATTTATTATTATAATACATTGGTTTATAAAATGTTATAAAATAGTATTAATATGTGTAATAGTTTACCCTTTTTTGCATAATGACGTCGTCGGCAAACACAGTTTGGACTAGAGATACTAGTATACTCATCCAGACGAGGGTCAGAATTGATGGATTCATGGCTGTCGATGAATGGCCTTGTGCAAACATAATTTTACAAGTTCACAAACATGTATGATAATAATTTGTTTACCGAGAATAATCATCTTAAATAAAAAAAAGTAGATAACAATAATAAAACCATTACAGACCAATGTGAATTTATACTCGTGTTACAAGGTGAATCTTTAAAGGTAAGCACTTATTTTATTGAAAAAGATTAACGTTTTTTGAAATGTACACAATTTAAATTTTATAAAGTCATTACAAATCCACATTTTTTAAAAACATTATTTTACTAATTTTATTGTTGTCATTTAAAACTTTATACATAATAATGATAAAAATACTATATTCTGAAATGACTTTAAAAAATATACGAATATATATTTATTTCCAAAAATACACTTTTTGAGATAATGAGTGTTTAAATAAAATACATAGTTTAGATGAGCGAATTTATAGCTAAAATGTTTAAGAATGGCAATATAAGTTAGAGTAGCTACCTACCTATTACCTACTAGACAGTGCAGTTGAACTTTCCAGGATGGTGATGTTTCAATATCCAATATCTAGGACGATGCAAATCAGCGCCTCTATTTCATATGATATATTCGTGTGACAAATTGTCAAATAAGATGTTTTTAAATGTAAGATAATATTATTTGTTTCCACGAATTATTGATGTAAGAATCTAAAAGTACAAATTACATCCAATCGAAGAATTTGACCATTATTTTTTAATGCAGCTTCTTATGTTTTAAATTTCATAATAGGTAATTGTAGGAAGACTAGTGGACTAATAAGTAGATAATTGGAAGGACCGATTATGCCAGTTTTTCGTGGCTGATTTATAGCCCCAGTCCACCCCCGTTACATTTAGTATATATATATTATATTATATACAATACACCTACATAAAGGGAGAGTCAAATTTAGGTACTTTCAAACATTTTTATATGGTGCGTTATTATATTATTATTATTATGAGGCTTTCAGGTTGTACGACTCATGGACAATGAACATTTTATTACTAACATATTATTATGTGTTTTATCTATTTTATATACATAAGTATTATATTACTGTACGACTATACCGTAAGAATGGGTATTTTTTCAACATGAAACACTCGTTGTCTTATACATTCGGTATATTTTAATGGCTTTAATTTTTATTTATTATAAGTTTTCAGAATCCTAAAATGTCCAACGTCAAAATGATTATCTTTTAACGTTATATAAAATACACTAAATATTAATAATGTATTACATAGGTATTGCACGACTAAATCTAAATTTGTATATCCCTACTTTTATTTAAAATATGAATAGTAAATTATCAAATTGTTCGTACAATCATTTTTATAAAAATATTTATTATTGAAAAATTAGTTAGACAGCCATTACTCATTAGAAATTAAATCCATATTAATTATTTAAATTGTATTGAAAATTATCCTGTCTGGTGGAGATATTTTTATCTCTATATGTAAATTTATAATATTCACCACAGTTCCAATCATAATATTTAATGATTTATTTTCCAAAGATTGCATATTTGTCATGATAATTAAAATAATATATATTCTGTATTGTTAAGTTGTTTTTATCGGCCAAACTAAATAATTAAGTTTTTCATATTAAAAGTTTAAGTTAATTCAATTGGAAAATTTAATAATTGGTAAGATATCAAATGTTTATTTATGTACACAAATATTAAAACTATAAAATATTAAGTATTTGCATTATTTAGTATTTTTTGTTATGAGAAGATCCAGTTAATGATAGCTTTATTTAGGCTTAACATTTCAAAAAACATCCTATGTATAATAAATTTATAATTAAAATATACGATAAGACATAAAATGGTAAAATTGTTAATTAAATAATGACATATACATTAATTTATTGGGGACAAATATTTATTCATTAATTAAAGGTAATAAATCGCATAGAAAATCTATATTTTAAATACCTACCTAATCGGATTAGTGTTTTCAAAATAATGATTGGTCGAATAATTAAAATTATTGATACGAATTAAATCTTTTGCATTTCAATGTATATAGTATCTCCTAGAAATCTTTGAGTATTTAAAATGAATAATTTATTTTTTTATACAAATTACAAGACCAACTTTCTTACAAATTGCTTCATTGCAATCTCTCTATATAAATTATCCTGAAAGTTTAATTTATTCCATAAATTAATTAATTTTATTAGATTTTTATATTACCTACCGACTACCGTAAATAATATAAAAAATTTTTATAAAACCACTTGATTCCTTGAAAAAGATTCTATTGTCACATATATACAATAATATTTGTGTAATTGTGTTAAACGAATTTATTTAAAAATTCAATCGATAATCGACCTTCTATAACAATCAGTTTTAAAATCATATGAAATATGTAAAGTGTTACACAATTTTGGAGTCCCAAAACAAGTCTTATCCACGTATACAATTTTTTTTTAGCTTTTATTTCAATAAAATACTGTGGTTATTGGTGAAAACTCATTACAGAGAAAAAATTCTTAGTTAGTTTTCCTAACACATCACACCACAGTCATCCGGTTGGTTCACAAAAAGAGTGAAGTATACGGTAATTGCAGAGCCATTAGTTTTTATTTTTTATATGAATAATTTTTACAAAATATAGCCTCACATAAATAACGAATCAGCCATTGCATTGCAGAAATATTATTATTCAAAATTAAAATTCATACAAAACTAGTAGCCAAGTATTTATAAACTAAATTTAAATGAAAATGTCGTTTTAAAAGTTTTAAAAGTTTATAAAAGCACCAATACAGTATTTAATGGTTTTTAATATGATTGCATATTAAAAATAAATACCTACATATTTACCTGCCTACACGGCTATACCTATTATATTTTAAATAATATTTATATTCATTATAAATTATTCTTGTACAACATCTGCAAAATATTTAGTAATGTGTATTTTCGAATCTCTCTCTGTGAAGAGGTTACCCACCTGCACTTTCATAATATTTTGGTTTTAATTTTACCAGTGAACTGCGTTTTTTCACGGATAACCGACCCTCCTCACACACAAATATGATAGATTATAGAATTTACAATATTATAATTGATAACAAAACGTAGGCTTGCTCAAGAATCAAGACAAGTGAGATGGTCAATTATTATGTACCTACAAACAGCCGAAAAACATCATTGGCCAGACTATATTTTTGTTTTGTTGAAATATTTGAAATAAATTAAATACATAATAATATAGGTATGTAATTGTTTAAGTTTTTTTATAAATCAAATTAATACAATTATACGGTGCTATACTATATCTAAGTATCTGTAGTCAGAAAAACGCTGACAAACAATATAATATATTTATTAAGTTGTACATTATTTTTATTCAGTATTCACTTTACCTATGAAGTATAATACATACCTACTGTAACTTATATTTATTTTTTTTATTTTTGTTTGCTTTTAGAAATTATAATGCGATTTACGTAGTATAGAAAATATTAGTGACTTTACTCAACTAAATCTTAATTGTTGGAATAATATAACTATAGTAGGTTGAAGGTAAGTATTTTAAAAACTAAAATGTACGTAACTCGATTTTTTAAACAAACATTTTATTCGAATAAATCGTTTAACAAACTACCTATATGATATAATATTACTGATTTCATCCTAATGATCTATACCTGTATTTTATATGATTTGAATAAAAAAAACTACTTTCAATTAGTGTACTAACTAATAGGTAACTTATAAATAGTTATTTAAAAATAATGTTTATAGAATTATCCAATTGATCTTAAGCTTGTATATTATTATTAAAGCAATAAAAGCCAAAGCGTAGTCCATAAAACTGTGTAAAAATATAACTATATGAAAAAAAAATGAGAAATTTGTAATGTAACTTCATATTGAGATTAAACTTAACCAAATGAAAATTAACATAATATGTGTTAGGCTTTGGGATGATTTAAATAAAACGATAGTATAGAGTGAAATCAAATTTAGAAACTATAATTAAAACTTTGTAAAAAAATAATCGAATTTTGCTTTTGTAATTTACATTAATTATCTGATCAACACAAATATTAATATTGATAATTATAAACTTTTTTATTTTATTCATCCAATAAATAACATTGAAATCTAAGGCCATTAGTTTAAAATCTTATTTAAAATGTATATAATTTACGCTGAAGTTATTGTTTGCATAATTTAGTTTCTTTAAGAAGTTGATAATATTTATATTTGATTGGGGATTCAATTGTAACTTGTAATATTCTTCTCCTACATATATGTTGTGGTATATAATGTAATTGTGTTTGACTCTCGTGTCTTCATATTTGCTTATTTTTATGACAGTAATATATAAATGATTTAATTTTAATAAAAACAACTACATATCATTTAGTTCCCAAACCTATGCTACTATAATATGTATAATATAATATGTATAGATCCTTGCAACAATGTCTTTCATTCCCCTCTAAATTATTTTTTTTTTTAAGTACATTTTTTTCCCGGAGTGAACTTAATTATTTATCATCTTATCATTTCCATATGAACTTAAGAATTTAAGGACAACTTCACAACTACTTAAAAAAAAATGAAAATTCAGCTTTGGTTCTATAAAAATGTTATTACTATTGAATATCATATTGTATTTACCTTGTAATGTATTTAAATTTAATTTGTTGAGCTGTAATACCTGGTGAAAGCAAATAATATTGAATAAAAATTATTTATGTGTATAATAAATTGGATTAACTATTTTATTAATGTGAATATTTAATTTCATAAAATAAATCAAAATATGTTAAAATAACAATTGTACTCTACACTCAAAATTAATAACAATCAGTGTTTATTTGCACGAATGCATGTAAAATTTTCGAATGCGTAGTTGGTTATTTTTAAAATCCATAAAATACAAAATTTTATAAGTATAATGGCTTACCTGTCGCAAGTCAGATGCACATTGATCAGAAACACAAAAACAAACAATCACTGTGAGCGTGTGTAAATGTCCGTTT